ATAAAATTGTTCAAAATCTATTTTATAAGCTCTTTGAACATTTGTATATTTTTTTCCCAGACCTATAATTGTCTTTTAATTAAGATATTAAACAAATCTGTCTGATTGGTTTTAATAGTTTAATCCAGTTGCATGGCAATAGATCTCTTAGAAGACTATAAGGTGGTTAGAAAAAGTCATCATCATCATTCCTTAATTACCCCTGGGGGCCCTGGGGAGCATATATGTAGGACATGACAACCAGAGCCCCCCTAGAATGTTCACAGCCTCTCTATTTTTTCAACGCATGCGGAATAACAAGCAAGGGAAGGGTGCGCAAAGCACGCAGGAGAGGGGGCTGGGAGGTGAGCGAAGCAAGCCTAATTTTTCTCAGTCCTCACCCCGTACCCCGTCAAGTCTTCCGTTTTGCAGTGGCATTGAGTTCTCTCACAATTCTACCTGCGCATTTAACGTTCAATAAAAAATACCAGAAAAGAGAGAACTGTGAACAGTCTAGTACCCCCCCACCACACATGGTTCTAATTGCTAAATTAAATGCCTTTGGTCTCCGCACCTCCCCTCAGGAGAAGCCCACTTGTTCAAATTCCTGTAGCATGGACAACTTCAACTTGTTCTTGGGCTTCTCTACTTTCCTCCTAGCTCCATGTGGGTGGTAGTCCAAGGCTTGTCTTTTCCAAGTTGCTGCTTTGTTTTCTAAGAGTATGGCTAATCAAGTGCCATTCCTTCTTCTTACTGGTGTTATTATAATAGCTTCTTTTTCAGAACAAGGTAGGATTGTTTATGAAATATTACACATTAATTAATTTGTCGACCAGGATTAGTCACTCATTAGTCATATTTTTTTGTCCTTACAGGAGAGAAGGAGAGAAAAGACTCACAGATCACATTGGCGAGCTTAAGAAGCAATTGGCTGCCAGAGATCTAATGATTCAAAGATTGCAAAAAGATCTGAAGGGAAAGGACCAGGTACATCATCCCCACTCCGTTTTCTTTGTTCTTCACCGAATGAAAAATACCAAATGAAAAAAATTCTGGGCTGTTCGCAGTGTAGAAGAGAATAACGTGAATCACTAGTTGCATGTAGTCCCACAATGGCCATTAACTGGTCTCTCTCTCTCGTTAGCCTTCTCAATTCAAGGCTTTTTAAATTCTAGATATGTGCAGTGATGCACACGGGTCCTTAGAAGTCACGTGATAACAGCTAGAGCGCTTATTGGTATTTAGCCGGTTGAAGTTGATGAAAGTTAACTTGCCGCCGTGGCGAGCTGGTGAAGCTGACGTTTTGAGCGTAGGCTAGCGTGCAAGTACATGTAGGCTCTTCACGTGGCAGCTGAAAGAAGAAGAGTCTTCTCACAGCCTAAGCATAGGTCAGAATCACTTGCCTACTGATGCAGACCATCAATTTCTTTAAAAACTAACACCTTTGTTCATTAATAACAAACAGGTTGTATCGAAGTCCTGATCTGCAGTGATTTATAATCACATACCTGAGCAAAAATTTAATAATAGGGTAATACTGTATGTAATTTAACTCCTTGTCTCAGAGCAATCACCAACTTGTGGACTCCAATGCTCATGGCAACGAGAAGATCGGTTCATTTGCTGGCGATGCCAAATCATTTGATACTTATACAGAGGAGTGCTCGGGCAGCATGACCCACAAGGATGTTCTTATCAGAAAACTGAAGAACGACTTAGAGCACTCGCGAAAACAGCAGCAAGACACGGCCAGGGAATTACGAGAGTGTGAGCTTTCTATTGTGCGGCTTCAGGGACAGATGGGCAAGTTACAGGACGAACAGTCGCTGAAGCGGTCAGACGTGGCAGCTAAAGATCACACTATGAGAGTCATGGAGCAACAGCACTTGGACAGCAAAGTACAGGTCAGTATTTGGGAAAATGTCACGGGAACGAATTGTACCTAGCTTAGTATAGGTAATCGTATGAATGCAAGTGCATTAAGGATCGGATTTACACTACAAGTGATATTTGAAAATTCTCTCAAAAATGCGCGAGCCTTTAGGCGAGTGCAATTTTGAGAGAGTTTTTAAATATCACAAGTAGTGCAAAATCCTTTATTGTCCGAGCTTTCAGACGATAACTCATTTATTATACGACCGTGAAAATTACGAACGCGCGCGTTTTAATTTGCACTGCAGTGCAGTGCTCTCAGCCGATCATAATGAAGTTATTTTCTTAGTCATATAATAACTACTATAGTCGCTCCCTGAACGCAGTAAAATGCGAAAAAAAATCAACATTGCTTTCAAGACGGTTTGAAATTTCCTTTAGGTGTGGATTCGCATGCTTTTTTGTTTCTCAAGAATCAGAAGTAATCAGAAAAAAACGTCTGGGGACTATTTCCAAAGCGATAAAAAGTAAAGCCATTTTCTCTCGTGGTTTATGCAGGTTGCAAGACTTCAAGAGGAAAACCGCGAGCTGAAGACCAAAGTCCGGTCGTTAAAAGACTCCGAGGGAGGTATCCCACTGGATCTGTCACGAGAATTCGAACAGAGAGTAAAGCGGTTGGAAGCTGAACTGGAGGTAGCTGAGGATCAAAGACGGAAAGCCGCTCAGGAAGTGGTGAAACTACAGAGTCAACTGAGCGAGAGTCAACACGCTGCCAGAGGACACAAAGAAGTACTAGTTAGCGAGGTTAGTTTCATGGTGCCTTTTTGGTGGCGGTGAAGTAAAACTGACGAACGTTATATTTACCGTGGACACGGCCGCAAATCGGAAAGTCTGGGACTAATCACATGTTCGGGTAACTGTCGTTATTCCGAACGCATCACGAAAGTCTTGGTGATGCTTTCCGAAGCCTGTTGGCACATTGCAAGGCTTTCAAATTTCTAATTGTTTGCGGGGTGCAAATATCTTAGATTCAACTTTGTTTCTTTGTTTCAGCTGAGTTCCAGGGATTCTGAGCTTGACAGTATAAAGGACCGATATAATGCTGCGCTAAAGGATGTAGGTGCCTCTTTTGGTCTTGGGTTTGGATTTGCTTGTTGGTGTTGTTTTTTATCAATACCTGCATGCGCCAAGCGAAGAGCATTAAATTTGATTTGCTTTTTTCCCGTAAAACGCGTGAGCATTTTCATCGCTAACAAAATGATATACTTTGATTTCAGATCCATCAATATGAAAAGGAGATTCGCGACCTTAAATCAGAACAAAATAACTGCACTTACGAGGTAACGTTACTGACCTTGCACGTAGTTGCTTCTTCGCGTCTGCTGTATATAACACACTGTGTATGCGTCCAGTTTTAGAGAACTTAACATTTTCTAAGCTGGATATAGTAATTTTCGTCTATTGGTTTCTTGGTTCTGCTGTCATGAAACTGAAAAACGAGTTCTATGAGAGCCAATTTGTAACCGAACGAGCAACGGGATTTAGTCCCCATCCGCACTTCGCCGGAGAAATTTGAAAACGCAGCTTTATTTCTCCGATTACGCCTACCATCCACACTAATCCGTCACGAAAACGGAGCTTTTCGAAAACGCTCTTCAAACCGGAGGAATTTGAAATTGCCGCTTGGCGTTTTAGCGCGGAGGAAAACATTTTTGAAAACGGAGCTTTTCGAAAACGATGGCGTCACGATTTCCCTGCCCGAGTTTTGCTCAAACGCAAATCCAAAATGGCCGGTGATTGTTACGTTTTCAAATTTCTCCGGCGTAGTGAGGACGGGGCCTCATAAGTACCAGTCAGAGCATGGTACAAGCAGAGTACCAGCTCCAAGCGCGGGGAAACATGAACAGTAATCTGTGCGAAGCCTGGTGCCAAGCGCTGGAAGCGTAGTATCATTTAACCGGTGTTAGCGCGGGAAAAGTCGCGATTTTATAATTCGCGATTCAGTTTGGTTTTCAGTTCATTGGCCAATAGTACTCATTCTAATTGGTCGAGAGCCACTGAACTGAGCAAATAAATTTGTTCAGGACGCATTGAAATAGTGCATAGTTTTTCGAAGACTAGCCGACTTGTCATTCCCTTAGTGTGTAAATAATTGAAAAAAATAAATAGATAAATAACAGCCTGGCATTGTAAATTTGCACCAGTCACAACATCAAGACCTCTTGAAGTAACTATACTGAAAGCAACGCTTTTTAAAATGACGCACTTGTTCTTTTTTTTCCCTAAAGCTGGAGAAAAATAAAATTCACATTCAGCAACTCGAAGGAGATGTTGTGAAGTGTCGTGAGCAGGTGTCCCGTTCGGAAGAGGAATGTCGAGCGGCGCAGAGAGAGTTAAAACGACTACAGATGGCTTCTAATGACCAGCGAGATGCATTAGCAAACGAGGTAAATTTGTGTCAAAAAATAAAACGCGACTGCAAAAAGTGAATCCTTGAAGAGTTTAGTTCAAAATTCTTTTGAAGTTAAAGAAATTGTACTGTGACTTCTCGCTTGGATTTCCAAAAGACTTCCTAATGATCTAACTTCACCCGCGGAAACATTTTTAATTTCTTCTAATAGCACTGCAGTGCTTGTCATCCCTCTGGGGTCCCAATTGTTAATACCCACTTCACGTCTCCCTGCAACGAGTTTTTGCCCTTTTCCAGAATGATAGAATCTTCCGCCATTAAAGTAGGGGCAAATTGTACATATGAACGACGAAAATAATGACTAAGAGAGAAAAAAAACGTCATGTTCTATGAGGTTTGAATACAACTAAAAACGTCCGTCTTCCGTATTACTTTCCCTTATTTTAACGGAATTTACATATAGTTTAACATTTTTTTTTCCTGGCGGCTTCCAGCAATCATGCAGATTTGAAATAAAAGCGCGACAATGTAACACTGACCAACACTCATTCAGTGTCTTTTTTCCTTTAGGTTGCTGAGCGCCATGATGTCATTTTAACGTTGAAGACGGAACTGTCGACTCTGGACGATAAACACAGAGAAGCAGTCGCCCAGGTATCAAACTGTCTTCGGCTTCTTGTTCAGCGAACCCTTAGAAGACTTATTCCTCACTGTTGTTTACTCTGTGGTCGCGCCGACTTCTTTGGTACTTTTTTGAAGCACTTTCCCCAGTTTGTGGCGTCTTGGTTGTTACTTTTCTTCAAACAAACAAACAAACAAACAAACTATCAAACAAGCAAAAAAATGAAGTGTTTGCTGTTTGCACAGCATTCGGGTAAGGAGCCCGCGCTCGTCGGGCCCCGAACTCTTTTCGGGGAGGAACACGACCGGACCCGAAAGAGCGACGGAAATCGAGCTTAGCCTTTAAGGGGAAGGAAACTCTTCGGACTCGGCGCAATCTTTTCCATGAAAGCATGTTTAGCAGGCATATCGATTTAAACTCAAGTGGTTTATAATTCCAAATTTTATTCAACAACGGTAGCTTTATCAATTAAATAGTCTCCTGTTTCTTTTTCCCATTTAATAAGCCATTTTCTTTTTCCTATGAAATTTCCGTGATCTGTAAATCAATATCCTCGAAATGGGACAAATAATCAAAACAAAGTGCTTCTGATGAAGACAGTACAGTGAGATTGTATACTCGACTTATCGCAGTTAAAAATCCTCCTGTTTTGTTTTTGCACGCAAAATAACCGCAACTCGTTTTCAAAGTCTGCATGGGCGTGTAATCTTAAACAATAGCGCTATTGTTCAGCAAGCAATTCATTGTGTTAAAGAGTCCTTTGAATCTAACTGACATGCTTGAGGGCCATCTGTGAAGTCTGCATAATTTTATTGCGGTTATGCACAAAGTTAGCGTCCCTTGCCTACGGAGCATAGTTAGTCGAAGGCTTGCGGGATTTTGGCTTCCTTTTCTCCAGCACTTAGCTACACCCTGTTTCAAAGTTGTGAAAGACTTAGGTTAACTTCATATTTAAGGATCCAAGAATAGTAATCGAGGTAATGTAGTTTGAAACTTAACGTATGTTTATTTGGACAATAGTTTTCTCTGACCTCGCGACTCTGTGAAGTCCCAATATAATTGTAAACAAACTTTTCTTTCGAGAGATATTTCGATAAAGAATCCTTTATTCTCTTTCTACAGTTATCGTTGATAAGTTTTGTCTTTAATCCTGGGGTTGATGTATTTACTTTTCGTCTGTTAAGCTGTCTGGTGTCTTTATTATATTCCAAACTTGTATCGCGAAGTACGAGTTGTGAAGAAGCCATTGCGAAACAGATGGTTTTTGAAGTATGCCTTAGTTTGTATTGGTGATGTGGTTTTACTGTTTTCGATTCTGTTTTCATCCCTAGATGTAAAAAATAGGACCTACAAGTAATAGACGATTCTTAACTAAAAAAGGTTGAATTTGTTCTCTGCAGCTTTCTCATCGGAATAATGTGATTCAGAAACTTCGGAACCAGAACAAAGAGATGACCGACACGGTAAGATTTCATAGCGTGATTTTTATGAGGCTTTCATTCTTAGTGAAAACGCTGTGCTTGACTAGATATCCCGAAATACCAACATAACATTGGATGAAATCAATCGTTCGTTTTATCCAGTGTTTTTGCTGTCATTTATTTCGTATCAAAAGGATTATATTTATATCAACATGGTTTAACGCTCTCTCATTCTTATTTCTTTGTGTCAATGGTATTGCTTCTGCTGTTTGCTGGTCATTTTCGATATTGCGATGTCTATTTGAAAATCACTATAGCAATAAAATGTAAAATTTGCTATTACCGCGGCGTTATGTCGTAATTTAGCGGCCGCACGCATATTCTAAGCTTTGTTTCATTTTCACGAATGTGTATTTGCAGATCGAAGAGTACAGCCGCAAGCAAGCGGAGCTCGAAAGCAAACTGAACGTCGCTAACAAGAGGGTATGTGATTTGAAACTTAAATGAGGGTCGTTCAGGTATATCTAAACAAAACACTGCGCCAGGCGTATGGAATTACAGAAGCGGAACTAAACAGGGCTAGGGTGAATGAGTGCACATTTCGAGTGAAGTAGGGTGGGGTGGGTGGGGTATTCGTGGAGTTTGTACTTTTTTAAACGTTTTGCACCTTTATAGAGAAGGGCAACGGTTGATGAAAGAGTTTTTGCAAAAACGCGTCTACCATAGCTTGATGTTGATTAGAATGAGAGGCCCGAGGAGATGCCCATCTGAAGGAGTCCATAATTTGAACTGAGTCGAATTTAGATGGTACGGCTAGGTGAAGCAATTCCCTGTTATACTATAGCTGGTAGGTTGGTATAGGGCTTTTAATGGTTTTTATGCTTAATGGCGTCATTCGTACTTTTTTTTTTATAGCTTTCGGACTTGGAAGGCCGCTTGGAGAGGAACCAGTTAAGCAGCTTGGAAAAGTCTGACCATCTCGGCAAAATGGTAAATGATTGTTTTAAACAGTGAAGTTTTCTTTGTGGTATGATTACCGCAGTGCATCACAATTGGTTATTTTTTTATCACAGGTTGAAGATAAAGATGTAGAGTTGCGGGAACTAAAGTCGGCCCTTGCAAACCTTAAAGATCATCATGATCAAGCCCAATCTAAGGTTTGAATTACAAATACTTTCATCCCTGTTTGTTCCATAGTGAGCGCGCCATGTGCCGCGCAATGTTGAATCTCACGGTGAGAAAAGGTCCTGTGCTCTTCCCGGGTCTCGCTCGTTTTAATATTCAAGATGGCGGCCGGACCGTCTATGAGAATGTCGACTGTGTTGATTGACGCTGTGATTCATTTCCGCATTCTGAATTGTTTCTTGTTGTCTATTCAAAGGTCTCCCACCGAGAGGAAGCTTTACAGAGACTTCAAGCTCAACAGAAGGATTTCGTAGAAGAGGTATTACAGTTTACTTTTGTTAACACACTTAAATACGAGAAGCCATACATCACAGGACACGCAACAATCATGGTTTGATTTTGTAGACTGAACGATACCCGGCAAATGTTTAGAATCATTAGTAAGTGAGGACAAAAACGAGGACTGGAATGGTTGTAATATGACCACACTTCCATCACAAAGCTAGGTACAGTTTCAAGAAATTGGTTCAATATGGATGATTAGTTTTCAGTTCCAAACTTTTCGTGTCTTTTATCACAAAATCGAATTGAAGTAAAATTGGCCATGGATTCTTTTGAAAACTTGCGTTAAACATTTTTTAGTGTTAGGGATTTCTCTTACGAAATGCACGGTCTGAAATTAAGTAGTTTCATAAATGGAGGAAAGATGAACATTCCAGACAAGTCCAGTTCTCGTGTAAAATAATATTGATTGCATTGCTTGTCTTCTTCATGTCAGGTGTCTCGACGGGAGAAAGCCATTCAAAAGCTTGAATTGGAGCTTCTCACAGCGCAAGAAAACCATCGAAGAGCACTTGATGATGTAAGAACGTTTGAACATAAAACATTGCCGTATATTGTTATTCTGACTAAAAATATAGCGGACCCGAAAACCGTTTTTTTTCGAAAGAGTTAATCAGTTATGCGGGGCTCAAGAAGACAAACCAACAAACAAACTAACAAGAAAAGGCGATAATTCGTTTTTATTTCTGTACTTGTGTTTATTAGAAGTATCAGAATAAAAATGTTGTGTCTGAAAACTCAGACTTTTCTCTCGTAGTGCTCGATTTTATTTCCTTTAATTTGTTCAGATTACTAGACGTGACGAGACCATTCAGCAGCTGGAGGGAGACCTGGACACCAGCAGAAAGCAGCTCAAGGATGCGATCGAAGAGGTGAATAGAATTTTTCTGACTCCATGTTTGTATTGACGAAGGGACCTGGGCCTGTTTAATGTTTGGGAAATGTTTATCACTTGACAAACGTAGTAATCATTAAACTCCTTGTCCAATTTTCTCTTGCAGAAAGGAAGACTCGAAGCTAAAATTCAAGCATACAAGATCTCTACACAGAGCGAACAAGACGTACTGGCAGAAGAGGTATTGTTATTGGTTTAGCACGCTGTTTTCATAGCTCAAATTTCATTTCAGGCTTGGCTTGTTAATTGACAATATTATTTGTTATACTTACAGGTCGGCAAACGAGAAGAAGCCATTCACAAGCTTAAGATCGAGAAGTTAGCTCTGCAGGAACAACAACAAAAGGCTGAAGATAATGTAAGTGTGCCATTCTTGCTTGCCTCGTTTTGATCGGTAGCTAACCTCTCTTTAATGTTAATTTATTGCCAAGAAGACAGATGAGGAAAACGAAGAAATTCATCACCAGATAGAGGGTTTTTCATCTGCCACTTTGGGGTCCGCTTTGGGATCCACTTTGGGGTGTAAAGCCTGGCCAAAAGTCCTTGGGACACCTGTCAAAATGGCAACTGGTGACGCATTGATTTAAAATGGGAAGCCATTAGTCAATTTTTCGAGCCCCCCTCCCCCAAAGCAATGTTGAAATAGTGGGCCGGTCTACTTAAAATGAATCAACATCAACATTGTGTTGGGGGTGGGGTGGGGGAGGTGGACAGAAAAACCATATGTTGGCAAGTGTACTACCAGGTCTGCAGCAGTTATTCCCTTTTGTAAAAGAGCCAATTTTCACGCACACCAACTAATTTAATTGTAGTTTTGATAAGTTGTAACTGAAGAAAGTCTTTTTTGTTTGTTTCAGGTCCGAGAGCACGAGCGAGCGGTAGAGAGACTTCGGCAACAGTATGAAGACTGTCTACAAGATGTAAGAATGACATGTTGATCATTTGACGCCTGGGATTGTGAGAACAACTTGCTGGTCGTCATATTTTCTAAACATTTTCACTTTATCTACAGATGCAGCAAAGGAATACTGCTGTGGTTGACATGGAAGCAAAACTGAACGATATGAAATCCAAGTCCGATGAATACACTGATAAGGTGTACTCTTGCTTTTGACTTTTTCCCTGTTATTCCAGTTTGTTTACGTCTTTGTTTTGACTCCTGTAAGATAGCTTGTATACATCCACCCCTCCCCTAAGAAATCAGTTTTTTGAGGGGATGGGGCGAATGTGTACAGGCTAATGTAAGACGTCACAAAATGTAACATTTTGCAACTACTTACATGAAGTAAATTCAAAGTTGTCTGTCAACCGCCATTATGGATGCGAAGCTTTATGCTTCTTTCTTCTGTCATAAACTATATCAGTAAAAGTAGGTACGATACAAAGAAGTAACTTGCGTACTTCTGTTTTACAGCTAGAGCATTACGAAGACACCATACGGGAACTTAACTTCAAAATGACGTCACTTCAAGGTGATCGGGATCAGAAGGAACACGAGGTAAGTCTCTTTCCCAGGCGTTTTGAACGCAGTCGTCAAATCCAGACCTTTAGCTCCAACACAAAGTTCAAATGTGTGTCCATTACTTTCTGTGTAGGCTGAAATGAAAGAGGATACCATTCAGCATCTGGCGTCGGAAATGGATGAGTTACAGGAGCAACACAGAGATGTGTTGGCCAAGGTACGATTTTCCATGGATTTGCGAGTGTTTTCTTTTGTTTTCCTTTTGTTTTGTGAAAATGTTCTTAGCAAGGCGCAGTCCAAAACCAATTTGATATCTTCTATTCAAATTATACATACATACTTACATACTTATTTGAGTGTTCTGCTAAATATGGGCACTGAAAAACTTTCAGAAATACTACGATTATCAGTTGAGTAAGGCGCGACGAAAGTTTGATGACCAGGTTTTTAACGTTCAACTTGTGTTGTTGTCCCGTGCAACTGGCTCCGTTTCCAGTGGCGACTTTTCGTCATTGGCAGCAAAGCGCGCGAAATTGCAGGCGACGATATTGTTACCATTGGAAACGAGCAAAGTTGCCCGTGGCAACGCCGTAGATTTAATTCCAAACCTCATCACCAAAGCACTGCTGCGCCTTACTCAACTGATAATCGTGGCAGCTGAGCTTACTAACTAACACAAATCTGATACAACTTTCTATTCAGATGTCCAAGAGGGACGAAATGATCGACCGCTTGAAAGCTGAAACATCTTATTTAAAAGATCAACAAAGAGACAAAGAACGAGAGGTAATAACTTTGTTATTTTGGTACTCAGCGGGATATTGAACTGTTGAATATAATACATAATTCTACTGCGAATATTTATGGCAGGTAGAAGGCGATGGTTGAAGCCTCGAGAAGCCCTATCTTAATCAATGAATCAATCTCAATGTCGTGCAATTTCCTGGCCTAATGTAAACAATTTTAAAAATAAATAAAATAGTAAATTACAATATTTAGAGAGAAGCCACATCAGCCTTAGGTGGTTTTCATGCGGGCTCTATCCTGGTCGAATTGAAATGTTGGTTTTTGTTGAGGGAGGAAAACCAAAGCGCCCGGAGAAAACCCCCCGGGGCAAGGCGAGAGCCAAGCAACAAACTCAACCCACATACAGCACCGGGCCGAGATAGTACGACAATCGAGCATTCAATTGATCAAGGGATTTTGTTCTTCGCTTTCTTAGATCTCTCAGCAGCTGGACGTGATTGGCCGCCTAGAAAGAGACCTGAACGAAAGTAGCCGAGATCTGGAGAACTTGAGACAAAAAGCAGCTGAGGATGTGAGTGCTGACGGGGAAACCTTGCTAAACAACAACAACAACAATGATGATAATAACGATACCAACAACAATATTAATAACACTGACGCTTATTTATTTCAGGACTAGAATCTTTTAACTCGCCTACACACAAACGTCCTTGAGTATCTAAGTCTAAGAACAAATGTCGTTCAAATTTGTATCTTATTTCGCTTGTCATTATTTGTTTCAAATCTTTTAACATGCAATTCGCGCGTACAGTGTTCATTTTTGTTTATATCGCGGTCGTTTATTGCTTTAGCTAAAACATATTTCCTGCCAAAGTTTGGTGTTTCATTTTGTAGTTTTTAAAGCTAGACGCTCCTAGCTTTGACTAAGGCTCCATTTTTATACATTTATATTTTAAATGGCTCGGTGATATCATAGAAATATGAACTATTTGTACTTGTACGAGCTTTGGCTTATTTTTCATAGAAATCTTGACGCATTTTTTAGAAGGAAAAGCTGCCGTTTTTGTTCATTCAAGACCATCTTTCAACTTAAGCTTTAGGCTTAATTCATATTTCTCCTTGATTAAAAAAAAAAAAAGAAAAAAAGAACTTTGAAAACAATTAAAGCCAATTAAGTTTATCGATGAGGTTACTACGCAGGACCAAATATTGATTGTATTTGATATAATTGACAGAATTCCAAATTATTATTAGTGGTGATTTAAAAGAGAGAAATAAATTATATAATTAATATATGGTGATTACGGTTTATATTGTCAGTCTGACAGTTTGAGAAAATCAATGTCGAAATGTGAGATTATAAGATATTTTTCTATCGATTTCTTACATGTAATAAATATATTTTTAGCAGAAGGTCTCTAGATTGGTTGTTGTTTTCAGAATGACAACATTGTTAGACCATTTTTTCTGCTTTAGTCGAAAACTGATCATCGAAAGTCTACTTTCGCTTTTGCTGAAAGATATGGTCTTGAATGTTGCCATGGTAACTAACTGCTTTAAGTTTGTACGGCTAATTTAGCGGCAGAACGACACGATAACGTTTTCTCACCAAAAAAAAAGAAAAACCTCTAATGATTAAAGGGGAAAAATTAATTAAATCCCTTAATTTTGGAATCCCCTTAATGCAATGCATTGAGCTAAAAAGCAGAAGAGGAGAAAGTATTGCACAGAATGATGGATTTCCAACCAACTCTTTCTCTTTGTTGCGCCACATATGGGTTGAAAACTTTATCTCATGAACAGTTCGATGAGACCGAGAGCTGCAGTCAAGAAGTTCGAGCGTAACTTATTCATTTGATTGGCTGCTCTTTCAAACATAAAATACTATAAAACTTAAAACAGCTTTTTTGTATCCTTCGGTGACTGCTCAAAAACTTGTCTCTTCGACTGTGAGGCACGGACTTTATAGCCTGCAATGCAGGCGTATTTTGGCGAGCGAGTGCATTTTGATCAAGCGAGCGCGCCATCTACTCGATAACGATCTAATTCCGCTAATTCGTGAACACACGGTAAACTCCTGCACTGCAGGCTATGGACTTTATCGATCGATCGATTATAGACTCCTGTTTATCTAATCACATCGCGAGTTTACCAAATATTAGCCCACGAGTTTTCATCTTATCCAAGGATCTGTGCACACTACGTGCATATTAATCCGTCGCGCAAAAAAAGAGCTTTTCGTAAACGCCCTTCAGACCGGAGGAATTTGAAAGCGCCAGCCGTGCCTTTTAGTGTAGACGAAAAACAATTTTAAAACGGAGCTTTTCGAAAACGGTGACATCATGATAATCTCAGTGTGATTTCCCTTCAAGAGGTTTCCTAAATCCAAAATGACCGGTGATTACTGCGTTTTCAAACTTCTCCGGCGTAGTGTGAACGAAAACATTTGATGCGTTTCCAAAGTGAAAACGCCGTTTTCAATATTACTCCAGCTTCGTGTGGACGGGCCCTGAATCGACCCTTTCGTTCGTATACAAATTCTGCATGTGAACATGAAGCAAGTCGTTCACAAACAAATCTGAAGACAACGAGTGGCTTTTGCAAAAAAATGCCGTATACTGGGTAATTAGGGAGCTTAAGAAAACCACGACGGCAACGGCAACAGCAACGTCGCTAAACAAAAGGTTTAATGAGCAGAACAATGGCTGTGCACATGCGTTATAATTCTTGGTACATTTCTTTGCCGTCCTCTGTAAAACAACAACGTGAAATGACCGAATTCTGCGTTGTCTGGAGGACGTGAACCACGACGGCTAATTTTTAAATTTTTATTTCAAATTAATCGATGTGTCGTAGATTCAGTTTCGTGATAGCTTTGACAGTGATAAACAAATTAAATGACTTTAGAGTACCACGAGATTCGTAGGTAAAATATAAAGGAATTTTTTAATCGACGTTGTCCTCGACGTCGCCGTCGTAGTTTCTTAAGCTCTCTGATGTCGCGCTGCTATCGTATGCCGAGTTTCTCTGACTCATTATTCGCGTTAAGTTTCTTAGCAGACTGTTGGAAAATTGCCATGATTTGTATCCTGCCCAATTTTCATTCCATTATCATGCGAAGAAACACAGAAAATGTTCCTTCCTCTATGACCGGGATTATTATGTTTGTAGGTGGCGATTAGAGATAAAAGAATTGAACAACTGGAAGCAGAATTCACCGACACTCAACAACAATACACAGAGTGCTACGACGAGGTAATGTCTATCAAGCTGTTATTTATAGCCAAGTAAACTTCATTGCTTACTTATGTAACTTGCATGCCTGTTTGCTTAAGTTGTATTCGTTGTTGTTCAAAGTTCACCTGCGCGTGCTTAGTCTCGCGCGCGCAACGCTTACAACCCGTGATGTCTAATGGCTTTCTGGGTGACGTTTCAATGACTTTAGAATCAAACGCAAGTATGGATTTATTGTCAGTAAGCCAAGTGGAAGAAAAAAAGCTACACATGGCGGCAGTTAGCAATCTTGCGAGGCATCACCGTGCTTTGGTATAGTTACAGATTCGTTTCTTTTCATGTCAACTCCATCGATTAGTTTTTGATGGATTTTAATTAACATTATGTGAAATAGCTTGAACTTCGGTTTCCAGCGATTTGGTTTTGGTAGTTTTCTTGATCTGAAGGCGATAAACATTTTGTTTCGGCTACCGAAGTAAAATCTATCCTGACAACTATTTCTTTCGTTTTTTTTTTTAGTACAAAAACATCTCGAGTATAGGGAAAATTCGTCTTTCAGTGAAACAATATTGCAACAGTTTGTTTGATTGCGCTATGTCACCGTCTTAGCTTTCAACTGTCTAACTCCTTCAATTCATTTTTAAGGGGAAAATCATTACTTGTGTTTTTTGTCAACAGTTTGTAAGTTTTTTTTTCGTAAGTTTTCGAGGACAGATGGCTGAAAATAAAACTGATAGCGGTTAATGCAGCCAGTTATATGTATATTTTGCTCAATGTAAATTAACAATTTTTTTCCATAATATTGGCAGAAACTGACAAGTTTCTAAATTAGGTATAGCGTCGACAATTTTATCGCACCTGTATAGAAAAAAATGAATCTTTATCGACTAAACAGTTTATTTACTTATAAGAAATGTAACACAAGCGAAAGAAGCGCCAGGGCAGATATTAAAATGAATTTTAAATAGATTCATTTTGACAATATTGAGTAAATGCTTTTTGCAATTGTTCGTTAGCTATTGACTCCCAACCAGTAATGAATATTCAGCATTATTTAATATTCATCCGTCAAAACATATGGAAGAGCACTTTGAGCTTGGAGTGTGGGATATCTATTTTTGCACGATAAGTCGTGATATCGCAAATATTTGGAGTTCGGTTACCACGGCGTGTGTGACAAGCAGCTGGCGAAAGCGCTGTCTTCCACTTTTTCAATTGGTATGATAAAAGAGATATTAGTTTCCTACTTTCGTCGTTTGTTTTCTGACAGGGTCGCACTGATCAATGACTTCCTCATTTTCGATTAATTTTGGATTTAGATCATAGAAAAATCGATTCATGTATTGTTTTAATTTAAAATAATAATGAATTGTAACAAAAACTAAGAATTACTAAACACTGTTTCTTACGACGTAATCTTGAAACACAGTTTAAATTGAAAAGCTTCCACAGCGTGACGTTTTACGTAGTTTTCACATGCAAATTCAGTTTTGTTTCATCGTGGTTCCGAAAACAGAACGAGAAAACTTGAACAGTGATTCTTGTTAATAAGGAAAGAACATTGAATTGAAAGTGAAAAGCTCCCAAAATTCAGTTGAATTATATTCAGATTCAGTTTTTGAATTTATATATAAACAATCATCCTTCGACCACAAAGATTTCTTTGTACATCCACAAAAATATGGCTGCATTTGCTTTTGCAGGCACAAATGGTGTTATAAATTCGCTTAATTAAACCAGCCAATGGTACGTTAGTATAAAGCTTATACCTGACATGACAACTTTATGCCTGTTATTTCATCTCAGCTTGTTCGCCAGGAGGGGCTTATGGCAAAGTTACGCGATGAAATAACTTCATTGCAAGATGACGTTTCCAAGTCAACCGATCAGGTATTACAGAAAAATCTGCGAAGTTTCTTGCCTTGTTTAAGTGTTATTTAATCAAGTAATAATTTGCTTTAGATTCCTGTTTGTGGGACGCACAATAGGTCATTATACATAATTGTTAGCCCGCGTGCTAGATTTCAAATTGATTTGTGTTCGATCGAGTCCGGCTGGGTCCTTCTTCAAGGTATGCCTGGCTGAAATGATTATTATTCGATTATTTTTTGTAGGTGGCGGATTCTGAAGAAGCTATTCGCAACCTGGAAATGGAGCTGGCCATGTCACAGGAAAAACATCGCACGTGTACACAAGAGGTACAACATGCTCAACAGGGTTTTATTTTAACCCGCCAGAAACAAGTTCGCATCAAATTCCGACATTTTGAAGAAAGTGCAACGTGGCGCAAAATAAAGAGGAAATCTGAATCTAAATCTTATTCCTAAAATGTTCGCTGTCTGTGATATAGACTTCAGATGCCTGGAGAAAAGCTGTTTGTTAGTGCTACTAGAAGTTACTTAGGATGGGACCTGTTTTCTCTTCTACACCTAGGTTGCCAAACGAGACGAGACGATTCTGAGCCTGCAGTCTGAACTGGACGCCACTCAACAGGAGTACGAGACATGTAGCAGTGAACTGTCAGAGCGAGAGCAAGAAGTGTCAGAGCTGAAAGGAAAACTCGGCAAAGTAGAAGTAGAACTAAAAGGGGTCAAAGCACAAAGCGAAAGTGACGAAAATAAGGTACGCTTACCCAAGGGGACACAGTCATTGTTATTTATTATGGTTGAAAAAAGCTTATAACTGTATTGCGATCACAGTAGACCCACAGGACATCCAACAATAATGGCCGGATTTGATTTTGTACAATAGTATTCGACAGATGACAGAAGCCCATTAGGAGTGGCGACGGCCAACGATGGCCAGAGTGGAAACGGACTACTATATCAAAAAGCCCTTCAAAATACGTGCCAATTACAACGAAACTTTGTTTACGAATATAATAACTTCGGAATTTTTCTTTTACAGATCGCAAGTGATGATAAAGAAATACAACAGCTGAAGACCGACAAAGCTCGGCTAATGCACGAGGTAGGTTTTGTGCTGGTTACTTGTCGTTGTTTTTAGTCGATCATGTTGCTGAAGATACTTTGCGATTTTAAAGTTTGCTTCAGTTTTTCGTTTAATAGTTGCTGTTTTCAATGACCACAGAATCGTTTTTAATTTTTTTATCGCATCCTTTCAGAAGCAAAACCAGAAATACTTGTTATCGAAATTTGACTTATCACCAGTCACGTATCTTTTTTGCGAGTTTTGATTGCTTACTGTGTTTTATGTTTGCCTTTGAAGCCGTCGCTTCTTGGTTTGCTTTCATTGTTCTTTTATGGCGGTCATTCAAGGCCTCTTGTTATATTTCGAGCTTTAGCCGTGCTATGCTTTGTGCGAATAATGATAAGTGGAATGGCGATCTCGTCTTCACATTATTAGAACCTCTGTTTATAGCTTCTGTTTTCATGTCTGTTTAGGTTCAAAGGCTGATGCAGACTGTGGAACATTTAGAAGGCACCATGACAGATTCAGAAGAGGGACATTCATCAGAGGTAAATCTGTTTTCACCTTGCATTAAACTGGGGACGGACTGGGAGACAAGTGCCGTTTTTGCCATCTTTCTGAATGGTATTACCCGATCAGAAACACGAAAGAACCCCGAATGTTGTGCCGTCATAATGAAGGGTACCCAGGCTTGTGTAACCATCGGACAGTCGATCGTAGATCCGATTTCGACCGAGAAACATTCATTCGGTTCGACTGAAACCGATACTATTGCTGCTTTTAAAAACCCTTAGAGATACCAAGATTTTCCTCGCTAGCCTGACATTGTTTCGTTTCGTCAATTTTGTAAACACTGACGATTTAGCTTTGTCCTGTCGTTATTTGCTCGCAGCTTAAACGGCTAAATGCAGAGATCGAGACGCTGGGAGCCAACCTCACTGAAGTCATGCAGAAGGAAAACGACACCGCTAACCAAGTAAGTTCTTATTTTATCTCTGTACATGAGTCAGAAGTGAAAACTAAATAAAAAAAAACTCAAATTAATGAAAAGCAATATCGGCCTTCTCCCTGGAAGAGATGACAACACTGTTTAAAGCTCATACGCTGGGTCTCTGTAGTGTGAGAGTAGGCTCTCTGCCACTGATCGGATAGTCGGATTCTCTTTTTAATCGATTGTGCAAAACAAGCCCCTAAGCCGGAGTGGCTCGTTTCGCGGCTTTGCCCCTCGCTTCTCATCACAAATAAAACGTCGCTTGCACACTGCCTAAAGGCAAAATTTGTTAGAGAACGAAACCACTTTCGTTGAAAAGCTGCACTAACCGAGCAATGTAAGCGTGAAGGTGACCTCTCTACATATCAACTGTTTTTATGCTCTCAGATGCTTATGTGAGAATTTTTCAATTTTAGCTTCAAGATGAACGCGAGAAAAATAATAAGTTGTCCCGTGAGCTACAACAACATCAAAAACTGAACGAGGAATCACTTCAAGAGGTAAGACTATAAAATAATTCTGCGTTCTTGGGCCAGACACTTTGTTCTCACAGTCGCCTTCTGCCCAGTAATATAATAAATGCTAGCGAAGTTTTGAGAAAGCAGAACAACTGTCGGTTGTTAACGTCCGAAGGATTGAGTTTACCGAAGAGAACAGTTTTCACTCTCGTCCATGGCTTTGTCCTTTTGGAATCTTCTTGTCCCGTCGTATTGCTTGTCTTGCAGCCTTTTATTTGTTTACGTGCGTACACACTAATTCAAGGAACTTGCCCTAACAAATTAAGCACCCTTTCATTTCACAGATTGAGCGTTGTGAGCAAACTATCCGACGGCAAGAACAAGATTTGACAGAGACAAGAAATCAGGCAAGTTATCGACAGATATTATTATTTTGAATAAACATCTTTTCCTTACACAGCACCACACCCCACAAGAGCAATATTGATAGAGAAATATTGATTTTCAGCCTAACATTTGAATGATCGTGTTCTATTGGGATCAACTGTTGCAACCGCAACCGGTTTAGGCTGATATCTAAATAGAACACTTTTTCAACCGTTTCATCCTGGTTTGAGGCCGGTTGAAAGAGTTGATCAATCAAACTAACTGAAAACGGTTTATCCCCAATAGAACACGAAAAACCCCAACCAACCCAGCTAACCAGAAGCGGTTAATCCCAATAGAACACGACCTAACTGTCTTACGTTAACATCTTAGGCGTCAAGTTTGAAAGACAAGCTTAAAGAATTGGAGTCACACAGTCACCAACTCCAGAAAAGCATCAGCTACTATAAAAGCCAGTTTAATCAAAGTGTTACACAGGTAAGACGTTTGTCACATCTCGTGTTACTTTCCACGTCATCGCTGAATGTTGGTCGTTTATCGCATACTCAATCTACTCAATCTGGGGTTTGAGTTGTCAATTCTCTTGTCTTTCATTNGGGGGGGGGGGGGGGGGGGGGGGGAGGGGGCTTGCTTCTAAATACATAAAAAAGAAATGGAGTGGACTCTTACACTGTAAGTTTAAGGGTGATTGACTTTCCAGAAAGGTGAAAGAAAAAGAAAGGAGTGGGGCTTGAACGAGTTTTTACAGAACGTTGTTGCATTTGTTGTTAGGTCAATCGATGCGAAGCGACGATCAAGAATCTTGAGAGAACTTTGAAAGAGGCTCAAGAACAGGTGAGACAAATAGGTTCAGTCTGTTAACGTGTGACTACTTTTGTTCAGTTTCAAGCTCAATATCAGGATTTACGTTCTCTCAACTGTTTGCGTTACATCTTTATAATGTGGTTCTGAGAATTTCTTGATCAACCAATTCTAAAATTCATTACCTGACGATTTTGTTTGTTTTCATTAACTTTTGGCCTGACAGTGTGTTGATTTTGTAAGAAGATAATATATAGGTCTATCATTTTTGTGAAAAACGAAAAACAGGTCATTTTTTGCCACTGCTATTCCCAAAGACATCCTTCTCTGCTGTTCAATCGTTCACCGTTTCGCGAACTGAGTTAACAAGAGTTTTGTGGATTTCTCCGTTAATCTTCCACTGTTTAATGGGTCTTTTATTGGTAGGCGGTAAAACGAGAAGAAGAAATCAACCAACAGTCTCAAGAACTCGCTAACTTGAGGCAAAGCTTCGCCAGTGAAAGTGAAAAGGTGAGCAAAGACATGATTTCAAACTTTTCGAGGTGATCGTTGCTGCCCAGTAATTTGACTTTTAATACATCGATTTTCACTTGAGTATCGGAAGCATTTCACATTTGCTTATAGCTACTACGCTTAGCGATTGGTTTAAAAATCTCGGGCCACTTTGTCGACCAATCAGATGTAAAACCAAAATTAATCGTGACGTGCTCGCACAGGTCTTCCCGCGCTTTGCATCGGCTATATAATTTCTTCGTGTTATGATCGGTTCTCTGCTTTGTCTGTCTTCTTTGTGACTGGCCCGAGTGACAGCTTTGGTTTTGGTTTAACGACACTCAATCAAAACCGTTCTTCCTATTAGTCATGCGTGGTAAACTATAAACTTCCTCATCCTCCAACTTTAAGGAGGTGAGTGATTCAAGTGATAACCGAAACAGGAGTTAAAAAAATCTATGAACAGAAATACAGGATTTCGGTTCTCCTTTTCTTTCTTTCTTTCTTTTCTTTCTTTTTTTTTTTTTGTTCTTTCAAGGGATCCTGGGTCCCTGATTTCTTTTTCTGAAATCGAATTGAAGTTTTTCACATTTCTGTAAAATCTTTGTAAACCGTACTAGACAAATATCTTTGTATTTCTCACCTTTGTTTACCACTGGGCACTTTTATCGTTTTTTCCTCGAACACTTTTACAATGTAATTTGTTGTTAAAATTTGCAAACTTTAATTTTAAATTTTCTGTTTTTCCATGTTTTCGCGGAAACGCGGCTTTGTGAAAGGAACAAAAAAAGAAACCGAAAAAATATACACTGTAACTATAGGCCACGTGTTCACAATGAAAACACTTTTTTAAAATCTTGCTGATGCCTTGAGCTATAAAGAAATTTAATATCTGTTTCGCGTAATGGCCTAAAATCAACGTTTTTGTTTAGATTCGAATTTCCTTTGTCAACAAAAGCCATTCAAGGGACTGTCTTGTGTCCTGTTTTATTAATTACGTGTCGATATTTTCGTTTGATTTGATTTCACCTGTTGCTTGCCGGCAGATTTAATTAACATGTACACATTCGGTGCTGCTTCTGGTATAAATTTATCATACGTACTTGGGCTATTTGACTGTCGTGTTGGTTAAATCTCGAGCCTCCGTAACATTTGGTGTATTTCGCAAGGAAAAAAAATCTTCTACTGAATTTTGACAAACTAAGAGGGAAATTTAGAGGTAGTTATTGAAGATATATATGCATAAAGCTCAGTGAGAATGATTTACATTATATATTATTTTATTTATTCTGTAGCGTTTTGTATGGTGCGGTTTTCAGTCCCTAATAATGTGAACGTTCTGTTCGGGACCATATTAAAGTTCTCTTGCTTACTTGTCCTAAATATCTTTGATAGAATCTGTTATATATATATTTTTTTATTTTTTGCCTTTTCTAGGCTCAAAAACAAAGCAACGCAATGGAAGAACTTGACAGAGAACTTCGTCTTGCACAAGATGCCTGCCAAAGATTGAAAAGCCAGGTATCTGTATCTTTGTGTTGTCAAAAGAATTTCTAGCTAAGAACAACTTTAGTTATGGTCGTTTTATGTTACGCGCAGCGATCACATCTGCAAAGTCCGCACGAGCTATTGTTAAAGTTTCTCAAAGCGTTCTTATTCATGTTTTATTATTTCATTCTGATTTTCTTTGTTCTCTTCTCTTTCCATGAAACCAAAACACTTTTAACGTTCTTCCTTGCTTTTGCTGTTCAAATAAATCGCGAAATTGGTTGAAATTTTGAGAGGTGTACGAATTTTGTTTTATGCGTGAAAAAAGGAAATAAAATAAAATAAAATAAAATGAAAATAATAGATAAACCCTAGAAGCGAAAGAATGTGGAATAAAATGGCTTGCTTATTAGAGAGCCCTTACAATCAGCTGTTGAACCATAGATTGAAAGAAATCGATTATTATTATTATTATTGTTTCAAGGTTTTGTTTGAGTCTCACTTGATATTTCGAATTCCAGGTTTCCCATTGCGAAGACAATATTCACAATTTGAAGCAGAAACTCTCGGACAAACAGAAAGAGGTGAGAACGGTTTTTCGTTATCAAGTTGTTAGTGATCGACTTTAAGTCATTATTTACTGTAAAGCATCGCAGTTCAAACTAACAAAGGCCAAAATTCCAGACGTGAATTGAGGCAGTGCACTGTTAATTGGAATGTTCACAATATTAATATTCTTCTAATGATTCCAGGAGTTAAGGCTAACAATCTTGTGCCCAGTAAATCCGAGCCGTTAATTTTGAACTGCTGTTGTTTCTTTAAGCACCTCCTTTTCATCTCACCTCTATGTCACTATAAATATAACGACTAAGGAAAAATGTGTATACATTTAAGTATACACATTTCCCCTTAGTCGTATTATTTATAGTGACATAGAGGTGAGATGAAAAGGAGGTGCTTAAACCTTTCATCAAAGCGATATTTTCAGCTTTATTTATCCGGTTAGGCCTACCGTCCACACTAAACCGTCAGGAAAACGGAGCTTTTCGAAAACGCTCTTCAAACCGGAGGAATTTCAGAACGCCGGCTTTGCGTTTTCGTGTGAACGGAAAACATTTTGAAGTCGGGGCTTTTCGAAAACGATGACGTCACGATAATCACGTGATTTCCATGACCGAGTTTTCCTCAAACACAAATCCATAATCACCGGTGATTGTTCCGTTTTCAAATTCCTCCAGTGTAGTGTGGACGGAAAACATTTGATGCGTTTTCAGAGTAAAGCCTCCGTTTTAAAATTCCTCCGGCGTATTGTGGAAGAAGCCTAAATGCTCATAATTTACATGAAGAGGCCTCTCTAGTTATACAACTAGAAGTGTTGTTAAAGCAAGCAACAATATGTAAATGTGATTTAAGATGTCGATTTACGGCTGTATACATTGATTTTATTTTCCAGGGGTCTATTCAAGAAGAGAGAGCCCGGCATCTTCAGGAAGATTTGAACGCTTCGCGAGAGAAGTACGAAAAGTCTCAGGAAGAGGTACAGTCGGTCATGAAGGTTATTTTTGTCTTTCCTTCATTACGATCCTTATTATTTATTGGCTGTAATATTAATTCTAATTTCAACCTTTATAGATTGCAGAGAAAGAAGAGAAAATCCGAAGTTTACAAAACGCGATTCTGGCCGAGAAGGAACAACACGCTCAAAGAGTTCAACAGGTGTGAATCCTTTATTCGTAATTCATTTATCATGTCATAGAGTTTTTTCACTCACGTGGCCAGCAGTCATGCAAATGTATTGGAGTAAAAGAAAGTGTTTACATAAGAAAAGAGTTCAACTCCCTCGGGATTGGTGTGGTAAACCAACATGGCCGTCGTTTCATTGTTTTGGAACACCAATATGGCTGCCATGACGTCATGCGAAAACGCTCTGTTCATTTTCGCCCATCCACACGTAAGGGCAAATCGCTACGAAAATGCTGCGACTGTGACCATAACTTCATCCTCACGGATGCAAAAAAAAAAAAAAATTCTCCATTGCGCTAAAACGTTGTCTCTCGAAAACACTGCCCTTTTTAATGCTTTTTCGAGGATCTTCCCTTTTGGAGTTTCTAATTTTTCAGTGGTCACACCTTTCATCTTTTCAGTGAGGACTGAATGAAGTCTTTCGCTTTAACTTTTGCCTCACATTTCAAGGTTACATATTATGAAGAGCGAATGTTGGAAGTGGAAGACGAGCTGGGTAGAGTGAAAGAAGACAGACGACAGGCATCCATACAGGTGAAAATTTATTTTACAACTACGGTATTCCTTCTCGTCCAGCTAGCTCTTTTTCTTTCGCTACAGTATGTAAGTTATTCAGTTTTCCCGTTAATCTTTCTCCATGCGGATTCCCGCTCATTCAAGACATGCGCTGTAGAGCACTTTTATGATCGATCTTTCTAAAGACATTTTGTGTTTGCTTTGCATAGTTTTCCGTTATCTGCGTCAGGATTGACTCATAGACTACTCTAATATATTTTGGCTAATCAGAGCGATAGTGTGATCTTTATAGCCAATCATATTCACTGCCAAAACCAGCCGTGACATGGTTTACGTGATTTTTTCCACGCTTACTATCGGTAACATGTTGAATTATGCTACTTGCGAATGTAGTGATTATTTGGATGGTTGCTTTTACAGTAATCGCCATAATACTCATTATGATCGCAAATTGAACTCAATGAGACAAAAAATGGGGCCGTTTCATTGAATCCCAGGTTACCCGTAGTGAACAACTCAGCCAGCAGCTACAGAAAGAACTGACCAACGTGAAACAGAAGAACAAGAATGAGGTATGACCAAAAAATGCCCCCATTTTGTGTGACGGTTCTACTAAGAGGAAAGAAATTAATTTTAAGAATTCCGATTCTTTTCTTAGGTCGTGCTCTGTTGAGATCAACCGTTTCAACAGCAACCGGTGTGGGTTGATAAGGTTAAGAAACACACTTCCAACCGTTTTCGGTTAAAATGCGGTGACTCCTGGGAATAGCCCTTATGCGAGCTGCAATCACACAACATAATCTCGCAAATGCTTTTTCAACCGTTTCTTAGGTCGTGCTCTGTTGAGATCAACCGTTTCAACAGCAACCGGTGTGGGTTGATAAGGTTAAGAAACACACTTCCAACCGTTTTCGGTTAAAATGCGGTGACTCCTGGGAATAGCCCTTATGCGAGCTGCAATCACACAACATAATCTCGCAAATGCTTTTTCAACCGTTTCAACCTGGTTTGAGGCCGGCTAAAAAAGTTAACCAACCAAACCAACCCGAAAACGGTTTTTCCCCGATAGAACACGAAAAATCCTGCCCAACCAGAAACGGTTGATCCCAATGGGACGGGAGTCTCCAATCACAAAAATAATGGGGACGCCTTATAAGCACGCACTCTGTTGCTTAGCAACTTCTGTTAGGAGAATTCCCCGCTCAATCACTTATTGAAGAATTTCAAGATATTAATGATGCTCTTTATTAATAATGCAGTTCAAAACATCCGTTTGAATTATTAAATTAAGTTACAAAGAAAAAGGAAGTTTTGACCTCTCTGCAGTTGCACTTTGCAGTCTTAGGATCAGTTTTGTAAGGACTAAAATTATAGATGGTTTTGTAACTTGAATGATACTAGAAATAAATTATTTTTGAAATATATTTTTTTAAGATGGCGAAAAAGGAAGAAATAGTTCGGCGACTGGAAGGCGATTTATCAAGCCTGCAAGAAACAGTCAAAAGCTACGCTGAGGAGGTTAGAGAGTTTAGTTTACATTAACTCCCGAAGTGAAGCAAGCATATCAGGGTTTTCTATTGTTTTCCGAAAGTAATTGACATTGCTCTATTTGTTTCCAGGTCGCTCAGTTGAATGGCAAGCTCACGGCCACGCAGACAACCCTTACAACACGTGATCAGGAACTCAGAGAAAAAGACAACGAGGTAGACATTTAAATCAAGACCTCAAACATTAACTGATATTTACATTAACTGATTTCCTTTCCATTCTTTTCCTGGATGTTAAAAAACGCGGAATGATAGGCTCGATTCGGGGAGGAGCGCGGGCTCGTTTCCCGAACAGCGGCTGGAAATCGAGCCTAGCGGAATGACTGATGCCATTTTACTTGTTTTTTAGATCTACACTTACGAACAGACCACAGCTGAAATGAACGAGCAACTTACTACCATCCAGACGAACTGTAACCACTTGGAAGAAGAGGTACATGACAAATGAAAAACGTGCAGTTAAATGCCTGATGCCCAATTTTATTTTTATTTTCATATTTTTTCTTCTTTAATTTCAGGGCTCTAAGCTGCGCGCTAGACTTATTCAATTAGAAGAAGAATTGTCAAATACCCGACAACAGCACAGAGACGCCGCGCAAGAGGTAAATAACAAATTTATTTCCCTTGTGTTCCCATCTCCTAGATTTCGGATACGTCGATTTAAGATATGACCTGTTCGTATGATTCATGCACTACACGCAATAGTTTTTTCCACAAGGAAAATCAAATGAGCAATTGTTGAGAAGTTAAGAAATACCTTTTTTGTACTCATTGCTGCGGAATCCTAACATGTTGTTTCCTCATAAACTCCCAATTTGCTTCTTTAGCTCGCACGCTGTGAGGAGAGACTGGGTCTAGTGGAGCAGAGTTTGTCTTCAACTCAAGACCAGCTGAGTGCCAGAGTGTCAGAGGTGAGGAGAAATTTGATTGGTTCTTTCATTGACAGGCGTTTATGAAAGGCTTTTTGACAGGCTTACAGTCAGTGTCAAAACCAAACTGGCGAGAAATTTTTTATGCTTTCTGGGTTCTTTATAATTATCATTTTTGTATCGGAAAAAAGGCCAGAAACATTTTCTGAAATAAGTTTTAATTCTCTCCGAAAGGAATTTTTGTGTTTCAAGGGTGACTGGAAAATGAAAGATTTGTTAAGATTAGTAAATATTATTTAGTCTTTTCAGAGCAGATTATCATAGCTTTGATTGTATATATATTTCCTGTAATTCAGGTTGTGAGATTGGAGAAAGCTAATCGCAGATTGCAGCTGGAACTGAAGAGCACTAATGAACAACAAGAAGTGCAAAATCGACAGGTATAAGCATTTTTACTTCCACTCTTGGTAGTTGCAATTATCTTCTTTTTATTTTGTGCATGGAGTTCCAGGCACCAATGAAACCACTAAAGTAACTTTTTAAAATATACAGTGAGGCAGAAGGACATGCTTACGTCAAGTATAGGCCGGCTTAATCACTCTTTCCCCCCGTCTCTGGAGGTCTCAAAAATGATCCAATGTGTGACAACAGCTGAAAAACCTGTGACCCGTTTAGCCTATGGAATTTAAAATTAGGCATCGCCATAACTGAGCTTTTTTATTTGTAGCTGCCAAACCTTGTCCATAATTTACGGTGTTTCGCGATCTTTTTTGCCCGGTTGCTTTGCCAATGCAGCACATCAGTTTCTGAAAAACACTTCTTCTGTGACTTGGCTCAGCTGCCTATTGAACTCTTGCCACTTGTTTAGCCAAACAAATGTCCGGAGCAGTGTTATTACTGCTTTTTCGATTATTCAAACCGATGAAGAAGATAAACGCGCACATTAGTGATTCTAGAGTTCTCAATGAAGACTGCATCGCAAACCAGGGCCAGCTTTTGACGTAACCAATGTCAGCGAAAACGCCGTATTCTCCGATAGCCGTGTACAGCGACAGGGAAAACTTGATCACTCCAAACCAAGATGCTGAACACATCAGAACAAATAACCTCTTGAGTCGTGTGGCGTCCCGGTCTAACGCTCGGTTGAAGAACATTTCACCAAGCGAGGATTTCAAATTACGCCACATCCTAATTCCAGCAACTGAATATCCAATTGAAACTGTTAACCCCCAAATCGCGAATGAAACGTGACAAATGAAGATCATTACTTTTGCTTGAGGATGGAACCACACCACTAAATCAGACATTATTAAGTAGAAGATATTTGCTAGAGTTATTGACATCAAGCACGGTAAGTTTTTGAGGCGGGCAGGGCCCAGTGAGATCTTGGTAGTTTCCAAGAAAATCAGAAGCATGATACTGAAGCTTGATGTGATGCAAGCTGTGGATGTTCCCCAAGAAATAATGCAGACGAGAAGCTGTAAATCTGTGGTGTCGTTACTGGAGGCATAAGGGTCCCAGAAAAGGATCAGAGCTCGAAAAAATCCTGCGGTAAGCAAAGCGATGTTCATTACAGCTAAATGAACTCTATGCTTGGAAAAGGTGGTTTTGCGGGAGTAGATGAGGTAAAACAGTGCGAACAATGCGATTAGGACAAAGATGGTTCCGAAACCATAGATGTGAACTTCCCACAGCCAGTTCCATTCTTTGATGGCTTCTAGCCAGTTTGGCGAAGGTTCGGCCCAGCTACGAAGCGACGAATCGCCAGTGTAATTAGGTGAAAGTGTTTCTTTCTTAACGCTTGTGTTCATCTTTTAGGGCGCACGGAATTGCGTTGCTGTTTGCTCTCGTTCGTCTCAAAATCACACTACCCTTAGAAGCTCTTAATTAAAAGGTTTTCAACTTTTTTCCAGCTGCGCCTCAAGTAAACACTTTTTTGGGGGTTTCAAACCAACAGATGAATTAATGTCAAATTATGCGTCTGACTGTTTTCTAAACATCTATAGCAATTAACATTTTATAAGTTCTGCTTTGATGTACGTGACGCTATTGGCTAAGATCCATGCCATGTGAAATTTGTCAGGTGTCATGCCGCAATTAAAGCAATCAATTCAAAAAGTAATTTTCACTCGTAGCAGGCTTTCTTATTCTATTATTATTAAGATTTAAGCTAACTGGTGTTCCTGGGCCGACTGTTGTTTGGCCAATCTGGTCACAGGTAAAAAAAAAAAATCGCCCCTTTCGTTTTTCGTATCCAAAATGTTGCTTGAGTAATAAACTGTATTTTCATTGTATACAGTTATTTTCCATGATAAAAAAGCGACAATAAAAATATATAGAAGATTAACTCCGTCAAGGATGTCAGAACTGGCATTTCCGTTCCGATTTCGAAAAGAGATAAATAGCAAGTTCTCATTACAATATAAAAAAGCAGAAAAAAATAAACATTGTCTGGTTGAAACGATTTAACTTTCCGGCGAGGTTCCGACACAAGGACCCAAAACTGTCAAATTTTCGACGGATATTAATGTAATCTTTGAAAAATGCATGCAGCCAGGCAGTCAAAAGCTCAGGTAAATGTTAAGCAACGTTTTGTATTCATGCTCCTTTGTCGTGATCAGAGGAGGCAAGAATAAAATCACATGACACATCATGACTCACGGTGACTTCATTTCTTTCTCGAGGGAGGACGAGAGAGGACCTGGGAACGAGGTTGATCACTCCTCTGGTGCATGATATAACTTGTGCTAAATACTTGACTGTGATTGGTTGACACCTTGTCTCTCAATTTGTATTAGATTGGAGAGCTGGACGGATATCTGGAGCAGCTTAAGGCTGACTTACGAGTGGCCCAGCAAAGACACCAGGCAGCTGTAGAGGAGGTGAGTCAAACTACACTATGAACATTAGCAAATGGCCCAGCTTTCCACGTGTCTCTCCGTAGCTCATCGGTTAGAGCATGTAACTGGTGTCTGGGAGGATTTTCTTTGTCAAACTCTTTCGACATGCCGGACATTTCATGTATCATATGTAGATATTTTATTATTAAAACTCCAACGTTTGGTGCATGAGCGTCAGGAAGCAGTCGCTTCAAACTGGGTCATCGGCTAGGGCCAGTGCCTGATGTCTGGGAGGATTTTCTTTGTCAAACCCGTTCGACATGCCGGACATTTCATCTATCATATGTAAATATTGTATTCTTAAAACGCCAAAGTTGCGTGCATGAACGCCAGGAAACAGTTGCTTCAAACTGTCGTAAATGAAAAATAAAAAATGTCCCATCAAAGAATGACAAACGTTTTTCAATTTCGTATCCTCCACCGTGAGTCATCCTAACTTCTTGGTGGTTCTTGTCATTTGTTGAATACTGTTCCACTAGATTGCGCTCTTACGATATAGGTTTATTTCTGAGCTTCTAGAACGGTATTTCATTTATGTTATGCTTTTGTTCAACTGCATCATCAGTAGAAGTGATTATGAGCTTTTTTGTTACCAACCGCTTTCGATTGTATCTCTTCTTAACAAACTCGTACTTGCATTCTATTACCTTTGTTATTTTCTTTTGCTTTGTAATTTTAGGCGGCCGCGTACGAGGATAAAGCGAGGAGACTGGAAATAGATTTGGAGACTGCACAGAAGGAAAACCAAGTTATTAGCGAACAGGTAAGCGAAGTCTGGCTCTGAGATAATCTATGAATGAAATTGTAAAGCGGTTTTTTAACAATGACCATCTTTAGTAATTTGATCTTATCATGAGCTTTTTTCTTTGCTTTAGTTTAACGAGCAACTGGAAAGCGCACGGGAACTGGAAACGCAACAAGCGCAGCTCAGAGGACAAATACAAGAAGCACAAAAACACGTGAGAAACACGCGATTTGCTTATTATTTTATGTTTGTCTAAGCACAAAAACAGTTTGTTAAACCAATTTGTTGTTGTTTTTTTAGATCCGTCATTGTCAAAATGTGATGGAAGAGCAAGAACACAAGATCTCCTCCTACATCGAACAACAAGAGGAATTTAAATCCACGGTCAGTAGCTTTGTGTGTTGTAGACTGTTTAGTGCGCCGAAATTGTCTTTGTTGTATAAACGAGTGCGGGTTTTCTCAAGCTCGCTTAATTAATTACAACCACCCTCAATCTATTAGTGCGTCTAACATGGCATACTACAAGACAAGACACAAAAAATGCCTTGACGAGGGATTTTGAGACTTGATTTTCTTCTTTTAAATGTTTTTTGCTGTGAAAATTTTTTACGCGTTACTTTTCCGGTTTTTACGCCTATCGGCTAAATGTTTGGTCCGTTTTACAACTAACGATTCACCCCATTAAGATCCTCCATTTAGTTAGATATTTCAACAGCTGCGGAAAGCCCGTGTTTTTCTTTTAAGACGCTTATTTTCATCGAGGGGCACACTGAAATACCATCGTCTGGGAAAAGCTCAGCTAGTTTCGTATCATAGCTTTCTTCCCTGTATAATTCGGTGTATATATTTACCGTTTACTTGCCAGATATTCTTCAGGGTTGTGTGGGAAGTAGTGATACTCTTGGTAGAATTCTGCTATGGAATCGGGGTTAATTTATGTTGACTAAGCAATAGCTTGTTTTTATTCGTGTGTGATTTTTTTTTTTCAGATTCGGGATAAAGAAAAGTCAAATGGTCAGCTGCGAGAGGAGCTTGGCGGAGTATTGGAAAAGAACAAGAATATCATGGAGGAGGTAGACAACAGAAAACACTTACCATATTCCGTATGCTTCTCATCTAGTTTTAGTCTGGTTATGTACCTTAATCGCGCATGTTTTATTTTTCAGATCGCAGCACGAGATGCCGACATCCGGGTCCTGAGAACTGACCTGAGCTCGGCACAGAAGAAAATTAAGAACCATACAAACGAGGTATTGGCGTGTTCTGTGCTAACATTCAGCAGATTACACTNAGTCAGAAAGTTAAAGACCGACTTGAAAAGAGCTCAGGACAAAAATAAATATTCTGATGGAGAGGTACGTTTGTGTATTGTTCAAGGCTGCCTGAGTGCCTGTAGACCTGACTGGCTGTCCGACTGTCTGACTCTCTGATTGTCCGACTGCCCGACTGTGTGACTGTCCGACTGTCTGTCTAACTGACTGCCTGACTGACTAGATGACCAACTGCTTGCTTGTTTGCTTGTTTGATTGATTGCTTTATTTATTTGTCCTCAACTTTATTTAAATTTGCAGATCCAACAATATTCCAGAAATATCGAAGAACTAAAAAGTCAACTAGGCGTGTCTCAAGAAAAGCTTCAAAAACAAAGTCAAGAAGCCGCAAGAAGAGACGAACAACTGGTCGTGCTTAAAGTTGAGCTTGCGACATTACAGGAAAAACATCGGCTTATACAAGATGAGGTAACACAACGGTTTCTGGTTAGTATGCATAGCCACAACTAGGGCGACAACCAATTGGAGACGTTGAAAAGCGCGGGAAACGTCACGCAGGCTACAGATGAATTTTGTTTGGTTTTGAACCTGATTGGCTGTGCGGATGTAGTCATTTTCTGATTGGTTAGAGATTAATGATAAGGGTGCAAAAAATCATTGTATGCCAAATGCTTCATCTGAAAACTGCCTTGTCGATAAGCTAAGTTGCAATAGATGAGAATTGTTGTTTTCAATGTCGGCAGTGCTAAACACGATTCACTTGGTGACTTTTTTTTCACAGCATTTTTACCTCGTAATGTAATCCCTAATTTTCAGGGTAAGCCTTAATATGCCAAAAAAAATTTCCTTCCCAAAGTCTACAGGCATCATTTGTAAACTATGCTTCGCAGGTTATCTATGTATTTTCCTTCCTTTACAGAGAAATCAGTCGCTGATATATAAACGACCATTCTTTTGTTTTTCAGAATGAAAAACTGAAGCAAGAATTTATCATTTCACGGCAACAACATCAAAGTTGCTTGGAAGAGGTACGTTCAAAAAAGTTGAGAAATATGTTAATCAGCTTGTGACAAAACCTACTTAAACCTGTCGTAGTTGCTTGTTTTATCTCATTATCGCCAATGATTTTTAGGTCCAGACCCTTCGCGTATCTCTTGAGGACGCGCGGGCAAATGGCGATCGACTGCATAGAGAGAGCGAACTTGTGGTTGAAAATGTGAACAGCTGGGTGAAAGAACAGAAGTGAGTTTTACAGCATGATTATACACTTTGACTGAATCGTAATCAAACTGTAGTCTATTTGCTAATTATTTCTTCTCTCATTTCCCCCAGGCAAGGAAACGAAAGGCTTGCAGGAAGATTACGGTAAGTCAATTAAGACAAGTGTTAAACATCATGTATTTTCCAAAAATAATTAGCGAGGTTGTACTGTCATTGCAAAACGATGCACCAGCTCGTGACTATGTAAGAGAGTGACCGAACGACTCAATGATTGATAGATAGATCGAACGATTGACTGATTAAATGAGTGACTGACTGACTGACTGACTGACAGATTGATTGATTGATTTAATTGTTTGATTGACTGATTTTTTTGCAGAGAGCAAGAGGGACGAATTTCATCTCTTCAGTCTGAAAAAGAGTACGTCCTTCTTCCACTATATCCACTAATGTCATTATGACAATGTGTTTTCGTCATTTGCCAGATGAAAAGATGTCTCCTTTTCTTTTTTAGACGCCTCACTGAGTCAACAGACACACTGAAGAAGGAGAATGCTATTATTAAAAGCGAGTTAGGTGAGTGGAAATGGCAGCTCCTGTAACGTACAAAGTAATTTTACGGTTGTCTAGCGCGTCAATTTTTCTTTAGGAGATACGATCCAATGTTGGACTTCAGAACGAGAAGTCTGGGTTCTAGCGCTCGTCGGGACATTGTGTAGTGTTCTTGATCAAGACCTGACTTTAATTTCACAGCGCCTCTCTTCACCCTGGAGTGGAGTATAAATGGCTACCTACTAATTGTTACGTGGAACGTGAGAAAATGCTGGGAGGAAATAACATTTCTTCCGGGGGGAGCAGCAATTCTCCCAGTCATTTACAATACGGAAATCGCAGAGTTAAAATCAAATACCCCGGGTATTCGCCTTCAATTTGAAGACACCCAGCGAAAACGTAAGATCATCAACTAACAGCGAAGAGGTTAAAAACATTTATCAGACCTGAAGGAACAGCAATTTATTAGATGCATTAGATGATGTTTTATTTTACTGCATTATGTTACAGAGGAGAGAAGAATGGAAAGTGAACGACTAAAGGTTAGTTTTTCATTCGCTTCTTGACCTATATTTTGTGTATTTCGGTTAATTTGCGAGAGAGGTTTTCCCCTTTTATTCGACACCATAACAACAACAACAACAAACAAACAAACAAACAAACAAAACTCAACCAAAAAACTGACTGGTTACACAAGTTTCTCTTAAGCGTTTTTTGTTTTTTTGTTTTTTTGTTTTTTTCATTACATAATTATGTACTGATAGACCGCAAGNGAGCATGTCGAAACGAAAGAAATCACTGTGAAAGTACTAAGGATAATTAAACATACTTTCAGATACGACTTACAGTAAAGCAATAAGATTTCGCTTCACCATGCAACATCAATAATTTCGACGGTATCGAAAATGGCTGAGGCTGACTAGGGTCCTTTAAATGTTTGAACGATTTCCAATTTTCGCTGGGTAGGTAAGCTCATGTTTAAATTTTTCTTTCTTTCAGCCAAAAGTCCGGTCAGAAAGATAAAGTAAGTGTTATGATAGTTATTAGGATAAGTTCAAGTAATCTTTGCTGAAGCTTCTGCCATAGTTAATAGAGGGGAATGATTATGAAACCCGACAAACTTCTTTGTTGTATGTTTTTAGCCATGACCGTGCAAAAAACACAATAGCTGTTTGCTTCTGACCGAGAAACTAACCGATAGAAACGTTTTGGTTACGTAATTCATGCATAGCAAAGCAATAGATTGTGCACAGTTGTGGACCTTCCAGCAGAAATCTTGGCATCTTTGTTTGCTCCTTTGATGTTTGCTGATGTTTGCTGGGCTTCATAACCATTCCCCTCTACTAACTGTGCTTCTACAGAGTGAATAATACAGCAGGCTAATAAGATCTAGAGCGCTTGTCATTTGTATGAGGAAAAAGTTTCCGTTTTTTGTAAATTAAAAGATATAGAAAAGCGGCAGCTAGAAAGATGATTGCAATTAAACAGTTCCTACCGTGAGAAAGTCTTTGGAAAAGCAGGCATTTATACTTCCTGAATATCGTCTTTCTTTCCGCTTCACCGGAGCCGCCAAAACAGTGATCGCCATTTGTTTTGACTATTTTAAATCTGATAATGAATCACTGCTTCACGCAGGGTAGAAATAGTCACATGAAGTATTGTCTCGGTCTAATATCACTCTTATTCAATCTCCTGCTTGTTACAAAGTGTTGTTATAAGAAGCGCGTTCTTTTCTTTTTAGGTCAGGTCCATCATGAGGAAGGAAATGGATAAAGCAGGTGTAAAGGATCCTCAAGTTCTGGACAAGTCTTATTGGATCAAAAGAGTTGGTGAGGTATGCTAGTGAGAATTTACTATCATCTATCTCGCTGCCCACTTCTTCATTTGACTTCTTACTTTTCATTGTCTACTTACCACTTTTCCCAACCTGGTTTGACGTCTCTGTTCCAACGGTTTACATACCAATTGTTGGTATGAGTTCTCATTTCCTACTCCTTGCTATGACTTCTCACATCGTACTTGTCACCTCCTACTATTGCTATCATTTTCGTCGCTTTCCATTCCCCGCTTTCTTCTTGCAACGAGTCAGCTCTTCCTACCTCCCACTTCACGCTATTGGTTCTTACATCGCTCTCCTCGCTTGCAACTTTTCAAGATTTCCCATTTCGTACTTTCCACTTCCTAACTTCCTTGAGTTTCCTCTTCCCACTTCTCACCTTCCACTTTTCACTTCCTGTTTATATGTATGACTTCTCGTTTCCCACTAGTTGATTAGACTTGCACTTTCTACTTCGCACTTCGCATTTCCCTCCGGGCTTAAACGTATACCACGCGAGTCGCGCGAAGGCGCCGAATGATTGGGACCTTTTCAATAAAATAACAGTGTGCCATTTTAATATGTCTTTCTTGTTTTCTTTCTTTTTTTAGCTGTCAATTCAACTACAGCAAAGCAGCGAGTACTGGGCCCAAAAAGTACGAGATTTAACAGCACAGATTGATAATGAAGAAGTATAACTTGAACAGCTTCAAAGGCCTTGGGAAAAGATTAATTAGACTGGATTGTTTCAATTTCTTCTGACATAAACTGTATTATGGCTTTCGCTTTCTGGGTATGATAACATACTACGAATTAGGGACAAAAAATTATACCTCTAGTTAGGAATTGCGAACAATTATGTAGGGATAAGATATTGATTTTAGAATTACCTTCATTGAAAAGCTGACCTGGAAGTACTTTAACATTAATTCGCCAGAGCAAAAATTAGCTATCTTTCACCTTAATTACGCTAAGCTTATACGTTCAGTCTTTGAAATATCGAGATCAATTCTTTTTTGGAAACGTTAAGTCAGACAGTGTTTATTTTTATGAAGACAATTTTTCAGTTGGTTTTCCACAGCCATATTTTTAACAAATACAAAATAATATATTTCATTGTTAACTGCTAGGTGAATATGAAAGTCTCTCTTGTGAAGAGAACGTAAAGCTGTATAAGCTGTGATATACATGACATGAGAAATATTATATATTATTGTTTTTTTCCGTAATTTTAAAGAATTATGTTTTATTTATTGACAAATAAGTTTTTATTTCATTCGTATAAAGAAATGTAAAAATTGTCAATAAATGTTCTACATGCCGCCAGACATCGTAATATTTTATGTTGTTTTTCTGCTACCAGACTTCTATATCATCCCTCTTCCTAATTTTAAATGCTTTACTTGTAAATGATGTTGTGAATATTTCGGTGAACAATGCGGGGCTTTGGAGAAGGAAGAAGGAAGACAGTGCTAACGAAGAAGGAAGTCATACTATATGCGTGTTCATTGCTTTTTTTTACATTTATTTCCAAACAATTACGGCACAATGAAGTCAGTTTGTCCGCTTCTAAGGGAAAAGTTGCAAGACGACGGCGCTATAAGGCCAATGCTGAGGGTCGAGAAGGGGAAATCCCTTTGTTTTCCGTCGGGTTAGGCTTTAATTACACAGCGTAACAGTGCCGGTCTTAGCAAATGACTTTTTATCTGAAAGGAAAAAGAAAGCATAGAAATCCAAAATTCTCACTAACATGAAGTAGGATACGGGGAAACATTGGGAAATTTTTTTTTTTACGGGAAATGGGCATGTCCTTATAATGAAGTCAGTCTATATTTCATAAGACAACATTTGAATGTAAGTTGATATACAAGTTTCAGTAAAAATATAGAAAAAAAAATGTTTGAAACGGATACTCTATATTCTGACTTGTTAACTTCGTACGCAATCGGCCAATTTATTTTTTAAGAAATCGTCAAAAGCACTCGTATACTGTATACTCTTATACCGTGGGAAGTTCTGCAGAATAAGTGCCTGATGGAAAACGTTTCCGATTTGTTTTTAATTAAAAGTTGTTTCCCCCCACAAAATAAGCTTTGTTCTTCCTCTACACCTGGTAAATAAAAACAGACGGAAATTTTGTTAAGATCGATTAATCGCACTCATGTATAAAGCTCTATAAGCTTGTGCTATTTAAAGTAGGGTATCAGTAAACTGTGAATCAGTTTTCTGTTGTTTTGTTGTTGTTGGTGTTGTTGTTGTTGTTGTTTTCTTTTTCTTTTTCTTTTTTAGAACCTGAGAAAGTTTGTTAATCATCGCACACTATCGCACACTATTTACAGTAAAAAAACAACTTGACGAAAGATGGTTTACAATGATATAGGAAAAATAAATACAGATAGAAATTAACTAGCGGGTCAGCTTGAATCTTGATCTTCCCACGTGGTCTTAGAATACAGGAAAGGGAGGAAGCAAATTACAAAAGTGTTAATTTAGACCAAATTCGTCAAATTCGTCCAAAAGATAACACTTAGCTACCTTAGCTTCATCCCGGCTGTCATATAACGATACTGCTAACTGATTCATTCTCTTCGGGAAAGAGGCCTCCTAGTACGGCAAGTGTTCTCTCTATTGTGGGCAAAAGTTGATAAATGATGGCCACTGTAACATGACAATGATAATCATTCTTCCCGCCTATCGATAGATCATCGACGGTAGAGACGAGCTGCCGGCTTCAATCGAGCGTGACGCAAGAGACGGAACGTTTATTGCTTGGGATTGATTCCACGCTCGATGGACTAGGAATAAAGAGGTCATCGCTTGTCCTGTTTGATAGATAGTTGGTTGATTGCCTTTATCCAATCATCTCCGTCTGTTTATATCTCCTGTCAAATCACCTGTTACAACCAGTTTCCTTTTTGCTGACGAAGGGAACGCTGCTGCTGGTAACGAGGCCAAGGTCTATTTTCTCTACTAGCTTCTACTCGACCAGTTTTATTTATCGATTGACTCACAATCACGTGACTTTTGTGCTTTCATGATGCGTGCTTTCAGTTTCGATTTCGACTTTCGCTAGACTTCCGCTCATCTCCGAGGACTGTTTTTCAACTTGTACTTAATTCAATGTCTTCTCAGTCAGATGGCTCAGTCACTGATAGCTTTGTCTTCTGAAACGGTGTTCGCAGAATGCCGGGCGTTTGTGTTTTTTTACGACATTCAGCTAAACCGATGGTCCGAAGTTGCGGAACCGAATATCTACTCTCGAATTCAGCTACTTTGCAGTCGACCACCAGGAAGTACAGGAGTGTACAGACTATTAGGAAGGCTAGAAACTACAGGAATGGTAAGATCTATGGTGAACTGATTGATTGGGCACATAGTGTCTAGCTTAATCAGACTGAATTTATTCCACATTGAATGAAGAGAATCGACCAACTGCCAAAAATATCAGAGCCTATGAATGGACTCTGTTATTGATGGTGTAGGTGCAACATGCTTTTTCATGAGTTGTGTTGTTGGTTTACTCTTTTCGGAGCAACTACACAATACAGGGCCACTTTTAATTTGAAGGTGCATTTATTTAGTGGCTCGTTTGGCTCGGCAGNAGAGTTAGCAGCGAAGCACGTTGTTGATATTCAGTCCGACACGACCCCCAGCAAACGTCTCGCCAAAATGTTAATGTTCGGTTAATTTATGCAATTCTGCCACGTATGCCGCAACTCCTTCGTCTTCGTTTCGATTTCGGCTATCAAATTTATAACGCTCCACTATCTCAGTTGGCTTCGGTGAAAAGTGCTTCTCAAGAGTGTCGACAATCTTCTTAAAAGTTGTCTCCGCTGGCTTCGCTGGTTCAAGTAAATCAATCGCAAGTGCGTACGTTTTACACTGAGTAGAATTGGTCGGCGTTTCGCCACATCTTCCACCTCATTCGCTAGGAAATACTGTTTCAACCGCATACTCGGTCCATGATTCTTCTGATTCTTTGAATTCGCCTATTTTTCCCTAGGTCGCCATTCCTGTACGAATTTAGAATGAAATGTCTCGTCGCCAAATGTCATGACCAGCCACTAGTGAATGTCTGGCGTTATTGTAAAGACTTTAGTTTATTGTAAATTGTTATTTAGAATGTAATATACTAATTGTAGGTCCACATCAGCTTTTAGCTGCCAATTTTATCGACGTACTTATTAAATAAAGTATGTATGTATGTATGTATGTATGTATGTATGTATGTATGTATGTAATCCAAACATACACTAATTTATTCAGTAAAGAGCGAATACAGCACGTGATCATGAAGAAATGCCAATCACAACACTATCATTTCTAGCTTTCCATTTCCCGCTTTCCTCTTGCAACGAGTCATCTCTTCCTACCTCCCACTTCGCGCTATTAGTTCCTACATCGCTCGCCTCGCTTGCAACTTTTCAAGATTTCCCGTTTCGTACTTTCCACTTCCTAACCTCCTTTGAACTTCCGCTTCCCACTTCTCACCTTCCACTTTTCACATCCTATTTATAACTATGACTTCTCGTTTCCCACTAGTTGATTAGACTTGTCACTTTCTGCTTCGCACTTCGCACTTGACACTTCGCATTTCCCTCCGGGCTTAAGCTTATACAACGCGAGTCGCGCGAAGGCGCCGAATGATTGGGACCTTTTCAATCAAATAACAGTGTGCCATTTTGATACGTCTTTCTTGTTATCTTTCTTTTTTTTAGCTGTCAATTCAACTACAGCAAAGCAGCGAGTACTGGGCCCAAAAAGTACGAGATTTAACAGCACAGATTGATAATGAAGAAACATGACTTTAATTCTACGCAAAGGAACAACTTCAAAAGCCTTGGGAAAAGATTAATTAGACTGGACTGTTTCAATTTCTTCTGACATAAACTGTATTCTGGCTTTCGCTTTCTGGGTATGATAACATACTACGAATTAGGGACTAAAAATTATACCTCTAGTTAGAAATTGTTAACAATTTTGTAGGTATAAAATATTGATTTTAGAATTACCTTCATTGAAAAGCTGACCTGGAATTACTTAAACATTAATTCGCCAGAGCAAGAATTAGTTACCTTTCACCTTAATTACGCTAAGCTTTTACGTTCAGTCTTTGAAATATCAAGATCGATTCTTTTTTGGAAACGTTAACTCAGACAGTGTTTATTTTTGTGAAGAAAAGTTTTCAGTTGGTTTTCCACGGCCATATTTTTAACATATACAAAATAATATAATTCATTGTTAACTGCTTGTGTATATGAAAGTCTCTCTTGTGAAGAGAACGTAAATCTGTATAAGCTGTGATATACATGAGCGTGAGAAATATTATATATTATTGTTTTTTACTGTAATTTTAAAGAATTATGTTTTATTTATTGACAAATACGTTTTATTTCATTGGTATAAAGAAATGTAAAAATTGTCAATAAAGGTTCTACATGCCGCCAGACATTGAAATATTTTATAATTTTCCTCTCCAATTTTACCACTTATTTTTTCGTGGTTTTAATTTCGTACGTTAAATGGTTTACTTATTAATGATGTTTTGAATACTATTGAATGTTTCGACGAACAAAGCGGTGCTGTGAAGAAGGAAGAAGCAAAACGTTTTTGTGGACGAAGGAAGTTATACTATATGCGAATCCATTTTTTTATTTTTAAATTTATTTCCAAACAATTACGACACAATGTAGTAAGATCCTTTAATAATTACTCTCCCCGAAGAAGAAGCTGAGTTTTGTTTCCCCGAGTCCCTCTTAGTTCACCGAGACAACTGAGAGACGTGGGCGATTTGGGGGAATTGCTGAAAGTCTGCTCAAGTCAAGTGAAACTTTATTTAGGCAGGGGGGCCCCATCAGCCATTGGCTGGTATCAAAAGAGGCCCTGTGTAAGTTATGATTACTCAATAAAAATTTTGAATATGTACAAGACTTTAAAAGCGGATAAAAGGGAAAGTTTAAAAATTCAAATGGATCACAAATTTAAGATTAAGAAAAAAATGGGAACTAAGTCACATAAGTAAATAAATAAGGCGAACTAATGGCTTAAATTAATTTAGGGTTCGGTAAATCAGATGAATGTCGTTCCTTTGTCTTGTCATGTAAGACTAAATGGATGCTCCGCTAAGGGTCGAGAGGGAGAAACCTCTCTGTTTTTCCTCGGGCCAGGTTTTAAAGGTTTTTTTTTTTTTTTTTTTTTGATTGTTTTATGTTGTGTTACGTTCTGGGGCAGATTTTTTACGCTTCAAAACTATTTTTGCCAATAAAAAGNCAGGTAGACCAAGTTCAAGATTGCGATGATGTGAGAGCTGATTTTAAAGTTTTTTTTTTTTTTTTTTTTTTTTGTCACAGCGTAACAGTGCTGTTCTTAACAAATGACTTCTTATCTGAAAGGAAAACACAACGCGAAAATAGAAAATTCTCACCACCATGACGGAATTAGGATACACCGGGGAAAACATTGGGAAGAATTTTCTTTTTTCGGGAAATGGGCTTGTCCTGATAATGAAGTTAGTCTTTATTTTTAGTTTGGAGGGTTACTCTAAAGCTTCCAACTCGTCTTGCTGAAGTGCTTTAGGCCTAAGCTGGTGTACAGCATCTTAAGAAATAATATTATTGCTGCAGTCAAACTAGTTAGAAATAATGTTTCGACCCCTTTTTAACTTTAATTTTATTTTTCTCCTTCATGCTTCCTCTACATGTCGAGTGAAACAACTCCAAAAATTGGAAAGCCAAAACTTGGGATGTTTAAAGTAGGACATAAGTCAACTCGAAACCAGGGGTGCTTACCATTTACAAAAACCATCCGGTTGGAAATTTCAGGCATAAACATTAAACAATTAAATGCGACGTTGCGGGAGAGGGANCAAATGGAATGGCGCGAACCATTTGATTTTCCAACTGGAATTTCCGGTTTTCCCATGTAAATGGTAAGTACCCCAGTTTTCTGGGGTTTTTTCCGAAGTACACAGTTTGTTAATCCCTAGTCAGGTGAAAGCTCAGGAACTAAAGGGCCAACTTTGATCTAAATCTTCCCACGTGGTCTCAGAATATTGAGAGGGAAACAGCGAGGGGTTTTTAAAACTGAATGTTGAAAAAGTTGTACACCAACGGCAAGTGATCAACTGTTGGTCAAGTGACATGACAGTGATTATCGTTACTCGAGCGTGACACTGAAATAAACAAACGCGTGGGCTGCTAAGGTCTGCTAATAATACTACCGTTATACTCGCGGTCGATAGCGGTTTGTTAGTCTATACGTCATGCTTGAAGGATTAGGTTGATTTCCCTTATCCAATCATCGATCTCTTCATTTATTAATATACCTGTACACGACTTGTTTCAGCTTTGCTCACTAACAAGGGAACACGGAATCACAACCACGTGACGTGATGCGCACGTCATGCGACTGATACATACGGTATCCCACAAGCCTTGGTGAATCCATCCGCCTTTCTCGAATGAGTTTCTTTGAGTTGATAAGTTTCACTTTCGTTTTTGAGTCTCTCTCCTACTTCCGCATAGAAGATAGTTTACCAATTTGTGCCAGCTTCAATGTCTTGTAATTCGGATGGCTCAGTCACTGATAACTTTGCCTTCTGAAACGGTGTTCGCAGAATGCCGTGCGTTTGTGTTTTTTTACGATATTCAATTGAATCGATGGTCTGAGGTAGCCGAACCGAATGTCTATTCCAGAATTCAGCTGCTTTGCAGTCGCCCTCCAGGAAGTACAGGATCGTACAGAATATTGGGAAGGCTAGAAACTACAGGAATGGTAAGATGTATAACGAACTGATTAAGCGCATGGTCATATAGTCATAGCCATCATATCGTCATAGCCACTTGTTTCCGACCTGGAGCGGAAGTCGAAGAATCCAATCTATCAAACCAAGAAATGATTGAGCTCTATTACAATATTTTAGCGTTCTCCTTAATCAGTTTTGTAGCTAGTTTACTTTTTTCATTGCTGTTATGCTATCAAGGAAGAGGTTGAATGTTGCTTTTTGATGAAGTTAAGCTCAAGCTCATACATCGCTATGTCGTCCAACTAGTGAACGTAAACTAGCCGTGTCAGTAGTACGTATGGTGTGATCGTCCGGGTGAGGGCAGTTCTGAAAGAACTGTTGCTGGTGACCTACATGTACGTTTCGACAACCTGAACGAAAGCCAACTCTGAAGACGACCGCTGCTTCTTTTGTATCGTTGCTGACAATGTTCAACTCAGTGTGCTAGAAAAATCTCATGTGATATTGGTGCTGAGTAAGCATTTTTGTTAACTTACTCATTTTAAGTGAGCATTTTTATTCTTTAAATGTTCAGAAACATCAGCGCATCGGGAGACTCTTCGAGTATAGTACCTAACGACGTGAATCTTCCAACGACTTACAGTGAATTCCCGATTTAGGAGTTGGTGATTTTTAAGGTGGATTTAACCCGTGAAAAGCGTTATCCAACCTTTGAACAGCCATCTGAGGAAGAATTTCACTGCATATAGCCCAATCACATGACTGGGCTTCAAGTTGAGCTCAGTTAATTTGATATCTAGCTAGTGTGGCATAGCTCATGTAACCGAATAGTTTGTTCAAATGAACAGCTATATAGCATTGACAATAATTCTATTTTTATTGAAATTACTGTTAGTGCAAAGTAGTTAAATTCTTATATCAGACATGGTATGTCTAGATTAATAATCCTCATTCCATTTTATTTTTGTTACCTCTGAGCTACTTTTTTGCCTGAGTAAACTATTATCTTGAGGTTTGCCATGATTTTGAACCGTGTTGTTCTTGATATAGTACTGTGATCATCGTCAGTCATCATCATCAAGCTTTATCAACATATCAGTCTTAGCTAGCAGAGGAGAAACACCCCCCTTCTAATTGGGGTCTGGGCACTTCACATAATTAAAAACCTACTAAGGGACCTAATAACCTTAACGATATATATCAATAACTATTACAACTGCTATTTTAAATTTAAAAAAAGACTATTTAGAAAAATTCAATCTGTTATGAGAGTTACAAAGAATGCAATTTCAGCAATTGTCATCATCTACCAACACATTTAAATCAAAAGTATTTTAGTTTGTGACATAATTCACTTTGTTTGTCATTTGATTATTCTCTCAAACTTATTAGCCCAATCCTACTTGTCGGGTAGGCCTGTATGGGCAAGTATATATATGTTAAAAATGTCTGTTTCATTTGCAATGGTTGGAGAAGTTAGAAATGGCTTTAACTTGTAGCATGAAACAACTATGGGTATTATTACTCCATACAGGTGTCATGTTTGTCTATTGCAGGTTACCTTGTAGAATATTGTAAAGTTACACTTAACACTGTGCTGGCACCATGTGACCCATTTATACTGTCTACTGGTTAGACGAGGGTACTGTGACAGTAAAGTGTCTAACTGAAGTCCATATGTGTAAATGCGCAAAATAAGGCAGACTTACCACAAGTTGACCTCATGAGTTTCTGGATGAAATAGTTAAGTGAGCAAAGTGAGCTGTGAGGTTTTAGGCCTCATAACAGCGTTGTGTAGGTTGCGAAGAAGCTGAGCAAGCAACAAAGTCATTTCGTCTGGTGGGTAATGAATAAACAAGATGATGGACTTTTCTGAAAGTCTGTAAAATCGTAAGACTGAGTTTCTGAGTTTCTTGATATGGCATTAATGTAGGCATTGAGGTAAATCACAATGAAGTAATTGGCATGATGGTAGTAACCCTGAGCTGCACAAACAGTACAAAGCTTTATCTGGGTTTTTTCATCTGCCCAATGAAAACAGCCTTGTGTAAAATAATCTTTTTTAAGAGTAGCAGAAGCCAGCTGTTTCAATCAGATCTGTTGCAAACATGGGGAGCTCATACATTCTTTGCAAAGTTTTGAGTTTTTAAACCTGTGTCGCACAAGAAGTATTCAACACATCGGGCTCAAATTACTTGGCACAGTTAATCATGCTCTGCCCTTTCAATATTCAGAACTAATGTTTTTGTAGCTCCGTCAGAAGCTGTATCGCTTATGCTATTTTAATGAGGCAAATATTGTAAACAAAGATTCTCCTATTTAATAGAATGGCTGATATAACTTGTGAACATCAGTCCTCGATGATCAAACGTAGTTTACAGTTATAGTGTTAAGTTAACATTTGTGCTAAATTAAGTTAATTTAGTGTTGGTCTGTTTAATAAAAGGACAACTGTCACAGTAACTTTGATTAATCCAGTAGTTTTGATGCTTTGGTCCAATTTTGACTTTTCATAAAAATAATATAATTCATTTGGCCAGTCATAACATTCAGTTACCGAACACTAAATATGCAAATCAAGATGTTGTAAACTTTAAGTCAACTGTAATTGCAGTTCAGACATTTCTCCATTTCTTGGCCAAGTCCAAAGCTTCTTTGGAGATGACAATGGAAATGAGAGTCAGAAACAAAGTGAGATTGAACAATCTTGTTTGGGAGGGGATTTATTTTTTGGGAGTTGTTTTATTTTTTAAAGAAATATTTTGATATCGGACATCAGGCAGGTTATGGTTGAATGGGTTTTGAGCATTAAATCTGGTATTGAAATTTGAAACACAGCATTCTGTAATGATGCATGGCAAAGGCTTCTTGAGGAATGCCAACAAGCCATAATGAGTAGCAGAGATGCTTGGATGTTGTACATAATGATCGCATTGCATTGGATAAAGTCTACAAAAAGTGCTTATTAATGTGGTGTTTTTCAGAGACGTTTTGGGGAAAAACCCCTCTATCAATCGCAAATGTTAAGCTTTAGATCAAAATAAACATTTGCTTGTACATTTGTCATCATCTAACGCTTAACATTTAGAACTGATGAAGGGTTTTTTCCAAAACATCTCTGAAAAACACCACATATAAGCACTTTTTGTCAATTTTTATAGAATGCAATTCAATTCAAAGTGCTGTACACAGCAACAAGTTGTGTCTATTCTTAATAATAATTGCATGTTTGTTATCAATGGAATTTTGCGTATGTTTCACTTTCAGGTAACTATAAGCATACAGCTATCTGACAGTATAGCATACTTGGTGACTAATGCCACCTGGCACCAAATCCGTGTGCAAGGTGGATTGATCTATGGCCTGCGTGTTAGCCCTGAATCTGATGGCATGAAATTTTCTGTCATTATCCAGAACACTGTGCGGTCTCTTCAAGGTAATCATCACCATTAAGAGTATTATTATTCCAAAGGTCAGTACACTGCATTAAAGATGTTGTGACCTTCCATTGCAAAGTCTTTGATTATTGGGTTACATTGACTGTCAAATATTCAAGTGTCTTTATGGCCAACAGGGTTTTATAGTTTTGATATCTCTATAATGTGTTAAAAGGTNTCATCACCATTAAGAGTATTATTATTCCAAAGGTCAGTACACTGCGTTAAAGATGTCGTGACATTCCAGTACAGGTTTTTGATTGTTGGGTTACATTGACTGACAAATATTCAAGTGTCTATATAGCCAACAGGGTTTTATAGTTTTGATATCTCTATAATGTGTTAAAAGATATTCTAAAAAAAAAAAATTGGATTCTGATGCTTTTTCACCTTTAAAATAAATAGTCAAGAGCTTTAAAGTTCCTGCTTCAGCTGTGCCCAATGAAGTTGACCATTAGTCAGTGCACAAAAATGTTTTCTTTCCTGAATGGGTCGTGATGCCATGTCAGGAAGTGCCAAATCCTGCTAGTTTATGTCACTGTTGTTTTAGTAATGGTGAAGTTTTGAACAGCTTTTAGCAAAAACAAACAGAAGTTGGTGAAGTACTGATGTCATCAAGCAAGCCAAATAAAAACACAAAGCTTTGACGCATTCCTGAATTGATGTCATGCATCACCGATCTTTCATTATGCCGTCAACTTTAGAAGCTCGGTTTTAGGTCAAAGCTCGGTTTAATTAAGGTCAAAAATTTAAGCATGAGAATCAATTGAAAATGTTTCTTTAAGAAAACTTTTTAACATGTTATAGAGATACCAAAAGCTCAAAAATACCCTGTTGGCACTTGAAGCAGTATGGCTAACTGTTTAGAGCACTCTGACAGTGTACTACCAAATGTTTGTACCTAATGGCATTTCTTTGGTACATGCTCTGACAGCACATCAGGTGAGTTTGGTTGAGCCATGGTTAATATTTAGGCAAGATACATTGAGCCNTCATCAAGCAAGCCAAATAAAAACACGAAGCTTTGACACATTCCTGAAGTGATGTCATGCATTGCCGATCTTTCATTATGCCATCAACTTTAGAAGCTCGGTTTTAGGTCCAAGGTCGGTTTAAGGTCAAGAATTTAAGCATGAGAATCAATTGAAAATGGTTTTTTAAGAAAACTTTTTAACATATTATAGAGATACCAAAAGCTCGAAACTGCCCTGTTGGCCATTTAGACACTTGAAGCAGTATGGCTAACTGTTTAGAGCACTCTAACTGTGTACTACCAAATGTTTATACCTAACGGCATTTCTTTGGTACATGCTCTGACAGCAAATCAGCTGAGTTTGATTGAGCCATGGTTAATATTTAGGCAAGATACATTGAGCCAAACCACAGAAAGTTAATGTTTTGAAGTTTGAAGGCTTTTTCTGTTGTTTTGATTCAGCAAACAGCTATCTTCTGCAAGTATTGCTATGATTTAGTATTTTGTTAATCACCCATAGACTAACCTGTTCTGTCCTTCTTTAGGTACCAGGAACCTACCGCAAAACCATGTGGGAAATTGGGGTGCACCCCCAGAGGCCCCACCAACAGGTCAAGCATCTGCATCTCCTGTTGGAACACCAAGAACCTCTGATCCTCCATCTCAAGATGGAGGAAGTGCACAGAGAAGGAGAGAGTATGATTCAAAGATTGGTAAGTGCATGTACCCAGTGGGGATGGACTGATGTGCACACTAATAGCCCAGAGCCCGCTGGTGGCCAGAAGGGCCACCAAGCGGAGCACCATCCTCATAGGAATCCCTGAATTGGTTTTCTCATAGTCATCATGGCTATTGGTTTAAACTACTCTTGGGCACATACACATGATGATGATGATGCCGCTGCTGCCGCACAACATGGCAACCTTACTCCAGCTACAGTGTAATAGATTGGCTGAGACATGCAAGCTTGGTTTACAGTGTACAACTTTGATATTGGAAATCAATGTTATTGTCAATTTACATCTGTCAAAACATCTTATCTGCTGACCAGTAGCACATGGCAGTTTCACAGGCTCAAGTTTAGAGCTCATCGAGATCACTTTTTTTTTAAGTTGACCACTGCCCAGGCACTGGTTTAGGTCGAATTACAGGCTCAAGCCACATTAACTTATTGTTATCAGGGTTGGATTGTTTGGAAGCTGATTCACAGTAAACTGAGATTAAAAGTTTACTGAAATAAAAATTCTTGTATAAAAATGTTTTTTCTGATCACTACTTATGTTTTGTGTTGTTTGAGATTCTTCAAACTCAAAACAGAAGGGCAAACAATATTATAAACAGAAAACCTCACCGCAAAGTTACCAAACTCAAATCAAAATTCTCACTTATCCTGGGTTAGCTTAATTAGACTTTGAACAACCCAGCCCAGAAGCTCCACTCTTAGGCTTGGCTGAACTATATGTTATGTATAAAGTGTGTGTGGTGGGCGGGGNCTGGTTGCCTTTGAAGAGTGGATAGTGCTGTTGGTGTGGTGTGGTATTTTCTTCAGCTAATGAGAGGAGAGCAATTGTATATATCATTCTCTTCAAGTGGGCAGAGTTGGGTTGATGAGAAGTACTTTGAACTGCCCTTTTCATGGTCCTAAAGGGAAGGAGAGGGAGAGGAAGGTGTAGTTTTGGAACTCATGTTTAGAAGAGATGAAGGGATACACTGGAGAGGCAAAATACGTGTATGTGTACCGTTAAATCTGTACTGCTAACGCCAGGATTTTAACCTTGATTGACTGATATTTGTACGAACCTGTTTTAGATGCTATTTGCTTAACTCTGAGTGAAGCCATAAGGACCGGGAATCAAGAAGGAGCCGCTGAACTTGTAAAGCAAGTGACAGTTCAGAAGCTTTCTCTCAGTATTAAACTCAAGAACCCTGTCTTTGTGACAATGGACTCGGGACTCGACTCAATTAAGTAAGAAAGCATCTTGTTATTGTTGTTATTATGAACAGGGAAGTTCATCATCATTTTGACCTTTGTTCCATCTTAGATAATTTATTTCATCTGAATCGTTTTCTTTGTAATTCCAGAGATTAAGACGAAATCTGGTAGGAAATCAAGCAGTTTTAGTTTTAAGTGGATAAAAATCTTGTACCAGAACAATCCATTTTGCAGTTTCTAAAAGCTTAAGATATAAATGATTGCCTGAAATAACACCAAATACAATTTCCCGTGGAAACATGAAAAAATGTATTTCAAAGTTCAGAGAAATTGTGCAAACACAGGTAAAATTTCATCATCAGTGTCATTTCACCAGTANTTCTAAATTCCTTAGAGGCCTTAGAGACTCCAGGGGAAAAATGTAGCATCGAACTGGCCTCTAGGGAGTCGCGAAACGTGTCTCGCGAGACGAGAGTCGCGTCTCTCGAACAAGACGAGAAACGTGTCTCATTGGGTGTCAACCGGTGCTTCACGGTTTTGAGTAACTTTTACTAGAGAGCTTAAGCAGTGACAACGGCGACGGCTGAAAAAAAAAAGAATGTATATTTTACCTATGAATTTCGCAATTATCTAGAACTGTTCTGTACACCAAGCTTTCTAAAACCCTAAAGATGTAACGCCAGCGATCAATTCCAGATGAAACGACGAAACATTAGCCGTCGTACGTTCTTCAAAATACGCAAAACTTGGCCATTTCACGTTGTTATTTTGCAGAGGACGTCACGAAATGTACATAGAGGATGTTACACGGTGGCGAGAAGATATGAATTTTATGTTCGAGTGGCAAGAACAATATCTTACGAGTGAGCGCAGCGAACGAGTGAGATAGTGTTCTTGCCAAGAGAGCATAAAATTCATATCTTCGAGCTAACGTGTAATGTTCTTTTAATTATATAGACATACTGATGACGGCGTTTTTGACGATTTTTCGAAGATTTCCTACCACTTTCCGAAGATTTCCGAAGATTTTCCAAAACTTGTTCGAAGGTCACACGAACGTTGGCGAACATTTTCCGAAGATTTCCGTAGATTACCGTAGATTGCCGAAGACTTCCGAGGAAGACCCGAAGATGTTTCGATGATACACCAACGAATTTAAGTACAGTTTAAGAGACAAACTTGATATCAGTGAAATCATCGATATCTTCACTAGTGAGGATGTGGAAAATACGCCACTCGAGTCCCGGATGTGGTTTCGCATGAAATTTACGAGTGGTGTATTTTCCAGTAAAACACTCGCGTCTATATAATAAAAAGACTTATAACCCACGTGCATAGCAATTGTTTTGCTCATTAAACCTTTTGTTTGGCGACATTTTCGTTGCCGTTGCCGTTGCTCGTGTAGATAAACGTATTAAAAACGGACCCTCACGGTCCTCTTTGTTTTGTAGTATACGAGTAGTGGTTGAAGATAAAGAATCTTCTGGAGGTGCATTCAGTATGAAAGTCTCACCAACAGCTACAATAGAGAGACTGCAACAGGAGGTAATATGTCAGGAAATCCCTATGCTCTCACAATGGACCTTTTTGACATCGTCTTGCGTTATCAACAATTTTTTGTATTTTTCTTTCAAACAAAAACACACCTCCATGGTTAAATAATCATGCCGATTTCTGTAAATATGCGTAGTTTACTGAGAATTTCTTACAAACTCATGAAAATATGGGACCCCAAACGTGCCAGTCTTTAGACAGAAACGTATGCCTTGGGGCAAGCGTTTTCTCTGATAATAATTGGAAAATGTAAGTCCCGTATTTCCATGACTTTGCAACGGATTCTTTTAAAACTTAGCATAGTTACTAAATTCGGCTTAATAACTCGAGTGTTGAGGGAATTTTTTGTTTGAATGAAGAAGATTGGAAAAGTGTCAAAAAAGGTCCAAAAGGTCCATTAATGCTCAACAGCAAAATGTAATCGATAGTAAAATACTCTTTTTGAAATTCATCAGACGGAGCTTCTAGGCGAGAAAAAGATTTTTTTGAAAAAAAAAAAAAAGTTTACTAATCTTTTAAAGGCCAATTATTCGTTAACATGCTCTGATTTCTCGCCCAATCAAGTTATGTCCAAAATTTCATAACGAAATGAAAGCATTGCATTGTAACAGTTTTATAAGTCATCCTCGGGGTGACGAATCTTGAAATATGAATCTGCCTTCATTCGTTCAAGGAATTACCCCTTCAAGTACCGAGCGTTACAGCGCAGTAGGCGATATCTTGACCATTGTTAATTCTGGACGGTACAACAGATCACTGACCTCCTAACCAAGCTAATTGCATGCCTTCTTTAGGTGTTTGACAGATATGGCTTCCCAGTCCAAGTGCAGAAGTGGATTGTGGGCAAAAAAATACCCAGGTCCCAGGATACCTTGCAAGATTTAAATGTGAGACAGTCTGGGCACACTGTGTTCTTGTATCTCTTATCTGGTAAAATGGTTGGATTGCGAAAGTCCGATGCGGAACGACTTGGACGCGGGAATTCCACGTCCTCGTCCGTGCCCACAAGCTTACCAGTGAGCGCTGCAAGTAGCGCCGCGGCTTCGACCCAGATGAGACGCGCCACGAGTACTCCCTCCCTGCCAGTCCAAGGAGAGCGTTCCACACTGTCCGGTAGCAGGACGGAGCCATTACCAACGGTGCGCCACAGTCCACCCATTCCACTCCAAAACCCGGAACCTGCCACCATGCCTGTCACCGTGCCTGCCGCCATGACTATAGACCAGGTACGCAACATGTTAAGTCAACATTATGGCAGTCAGGGGGATGCGGCCAATCATTCCGACCGTCCTCAAGAGGAGGCGTTTGTGAACAATTTAGAAATCGCTCAACAGCCGACTGAGGAGGACGGGCATCCTTTGGGATGGACTTGTCCTGCGTGCACGTATATTAATCAGCCAACAAGACCCGGCTGTGAAATGTGTAGTTCGGACAGGCCGTCTGATTATGTTGTACCTGATGGAACAAGGTTGGACGAGAGAGAAAGGAGTAGGATTGCTGCCGAGGAGAGATCAGAGGCGCTTTTTCAGCAGGTATGTACTCTTCACACGAAACCTTCGCTGAGTTCATCCATTGCTTCGCATTTCTCTTTGCTTTAGTACATGTACTTACGTTTGTGGATTTGGCTTATTCCACTAAAGAAACTAACGCCTGCCTTCGTGATTAAGCTTTGAGCTTTGAAGGTTTTAAAAATTAGTTTTTAAAAATAATGTTAATAAATGTAGCGCTTTTACGTAGCAGATGTGGATAGAGTAAAAGAACAGTAAGGCATTTAGTATTTCTTTCAGTTTGACCTTTTAGTTTAAACCACTCTGAATTCCACAGTCCTCACGCCCGCTTGTCGCTGAGCAACAGAAGCGAAAGCTCTGTTCCTCGTACTCATTCATCTACTCGTGCCACGATGTGAAGACACCTTATTTCAAAACATTCAGCGATGTATATTTTACAAATGGCATAAGCCCCGTTCACTGGCGTATTATCTGCTCTATGTCATCAGTTCGGGCTCATTTTTTTTTCCTTTTATTTTATTTATTTATTTATTTGTTTGTTTATTTAATTATTTATTTATTTGTTTGTTTATTTATTTATTTATTTATTTATTTGGCCTTTAGACTTAAAATACACACTGTAAATCGATATATTCATTGTCATCGATATACCATATTGTACGAAGTGAACGCGATTTGAAGGGAAATTACTTCCCGAATGATAAACAAAATTGACGCGAAAGAGGTGCTAAAATTTTAAAATAATGGAAATAAACGCCACGTATTACTCAAAGGAACATTTTTTTTAAGAGAAGAGGAAAAAGTAATGTTAAGTGTGAAAATCCGGAATTCAAACAATGTTCGTAGACTATAAATTACCCGTAAACGAAGGGGTTAAGCGAAGTCATCTGGCCTCGTCGAACGTTCTTCACAGTGTCCATGATGGGGCGGAATTGCACCCTGATAAAATAAAATAAAACAAAATAGAGTAAAAATTAGTTAATTAAATAAATAAATAAATGAATAAATAAATAAATAAATAAATAAAGCGGCGGAATTGCACCCTAACAAAATAAACATAAATAAATGAAGTGGCGGAATTGCATCCTGATGAAATAAATGAATCAATCAATAAATCAATAAATGTTTTTTCCTTTTTCCGCTCCAACCCATTTATGCAATTCTTTCATGAGCTTAGCATGGCACACGTCGAGAACTTGGGGCGAAAATGGAGGAAATTAAGGGCGCAGAAAGTAACGCTCCGCTGAATCACTGACGCTGAAATTAACGTCAACAAAAATTATTACAACTTATTATAAGGCTTGTGTTTGTAGCCGATAGAACGCGCGCTCTGATTTGCCCATTGTAGGGCATTATTCTCCCGTACTGCCCACGGGCCGATTACGGGCCCCCAAAACCAAACCAAAAAGCCATACAATAAACAACTTATTAACCTCGAACGTTCAGTCTTGACGGGAAAGTCTCAAACCTCGGCCTTGCCGTTTTGACCTCGCTATCGCTCGGTCAATAAGGCCTCGGTTTGAGATTTTCCCGTAAAGACCTCACTCTCGGTTAATAAGTAGTTATTAATGTACGGCTAATCTTTACAATTCGCGTTAATTTCATGAAGCGTTAAGATAATCCATTTCAAATCTTTACTGTCACGTAATGACTACCACCTCCCTGTGTTTGAATGTTTTATCACACTCTACGTATGCAGGTTGTTGAGTGTCTTCCAGTTCCATCGATATAGTAGGAGTAGTGACTGAGACAGTAGTTTTACCTTCAGTTGATATTTTTGTACGTCAGTAGGTCGGAGAGGTTTAGGGTGTGGGTTAGGCAAGAAGGATTGATCAGTGTGAATTGTGACTTTGTGCTATGGATCTGATCGGCGATCTAAAGCCATCGGCCCCTCATAATTATCGCAAATAAACTGTGGAAATAAAATAGTCAAAAAGGCAAGAACTGGAATCGTTTGCTGTTTGCAAGGTCTATAAAAGCGCCCGTCAAGCTAAACCAAAAAAACAAACGTTGTACTCAAAAGTATCTTGACTTGCATTACACTACACGATCTTGGCCCGAATTTCCACAAAATCTGGAACTGTGCCTCTAGAAATGTAAAAAACTGACCTTTTGATTGGCACATGAATGGAATGCTACTGAAGTTTGCCTAAAACACAGAATATGTTTGCGCAAAAGTTTCAGGGAGTGAGCTTTTCAAGGATCTTCGTACGTGGTCACTTTGATTCCGTAACCTTGCCATTGCGTCTTGTTCTCTTAGCTACGAATGTTGTGTCCCTCTGCACGTGTCGCTTGCCCTCTTTTAATGCTGTTCTTTTTTTTTTTTTCGCCTCAGATGTTTTGTTTGGCAATGTTTCTAATCTTGTTTTCCGCCTTTTCCTTAGGGTGAGGAAAGGCTACTGAGCACCGAATTGCAACGATTTCTCCTGGCCGAAAATGACGATTGAAGGCGAAACACCTAACCAACGTTTAAACTACCATACGCTCCAGTTCTTGCCTTGATGAAACCAATAAGGGGTTCAGAAAGGACTTCGGCTGTGCCTTGACGTAGTTGCATAATTAAATTAAGCTTCGTTTAACCCAGACTTGAAGTAGGTTTCCCAAGTAGAGTCTAAGCTTTGATGTACTCTCTGCGAGTATTTTAAGGGTACTTCACTTAAGCTGTTTACCGATTGTTCGTCGTAGCTTGCAGTTCGTTTCCTTCTGTTAGGTTGGTCTCGTTATCTGCCTTTTTCACAGTGGCCCGTGGTTTAAATGTCCACGAAGCACAGGGTTATTTCTAGACAGATAGTTTGTTATTAAGGAGAGTTTTGTCGCAAATGAACTCTTCATTTGGCCCATTGCAAATGTAAATATCAAATATATATCATTTTAATTTCTTTTTATTGAGATATGTGAAATAATATACGAACAACTTAGCTGAAGCAATTAACTTTTATTGTCGCTCTTTATGGTAGCAGTAGCTGACGACCGGGAGAGACTGGGAATAAGCATAAGAGCACTATTATGACTGTAGGGGAATCTTAGTTGTGGCGTAAACCTTAGCACTTCAGTCCGAACGTGCTTCATGTACAGAGATTTAAACTGTAGTTTAATAAAGGAGTGGCACGATTAGCTGTCCATAGAAATTTGGGTCCAATGTCTTAAATGCTCTTTGTGTGAAGCGAGTTGAAAAAGCGAAACGTTTGACCGATTTCTAAGTTTCACCAGCTCTTCAAATGTTTCGAATTTACATGTGGCATAGTGGATTTTCTGCTTATGAGGCAAAAGGTAAACAGTGACGCTAGTAAATACTCGCACTAAATTAGTTCTTATGTTTTGAAAGAAAAAGATGCCTGGCAACTCAATCCACTGAGTGAATTCTGTACCAAGTCCCACAAGAGACTTGCACTGAAGAAAGAGCCCAGTTACTGTACATCACGAGGACGTGGCCCATAAGCAATTGCAACAAACGTCCGTCCCAGTGATGGGATTTAGATCTTCATTAATAGCTAAGCTGTATGCTGCGAGGTCAAGGAGTAGCTGAACACTACAATAAGTAGAGCTTCCACAGGATCTGCGATAACGGCGCAATAGCCACGTTCCCACTGCCAAGTGTCTCTTCCTCTCGTCCTCAACAGCGAGAAAGAGCGGGAAAAAGAGAGGCCGTGGGAACGAGGTTACAGGCACATGCAATTTTTTTTCACTAAAAGCTGCTTTCGAAATTGATCTTAACGATGGCTGGAGAAAAGTCCAACGGTCGTAGCAATCATATGGAAACTTACTATCCAGCGGTTGTAGCCATCTTTGCTACAACGGTTGATGGGATAGGATCTAGTTGTATCTTAACGATGGTAGCGGTCATATGGCGGAAACCGCTGATCGAAAGGATCGCTCAACTTTTTCTGTAGTGATCGTAACGATCATATAGAACCAGCAGCCTTGAAGCGGTGCTTAGAGAAGGTTAACACCGTACTTGAGCTGGTTCGGAAAGTAAATAGAGGCTGAATGTAGCGACTTTAAGTGTAACTTTCCCCTCATTTGACTGTTGATTTCCCAACCGTTAGTTATTTCTTCGTTTGTCATTTAATATTTTCAATGCTCTAATTTTTACTTTGATAATGCCGCGTTCTCCAAAACACGCAGAACTTAGTCATTTCACGGTGCTGTTGTTCAGAGGACGGCGAAGAAATGTACAAAGATTTTAAACCCACGTGCATAGCTATTCTACTTATTTAACCTTTTATTTAGTGGCGTTCGCGTTGCCGTCGTGGTTTGCTTAAGTTTTTGAGTACATTAAGAACAAACGAGAGAGAAACCTGGTGTATGACCTGGAAGTTGTAATTTAACGAGAATCTCTTACAATTATACGTTATCACAATTGGAGTTTTGTTGTCTTTGATGAAGGCTGAGCGGATGAGACAACAGGAAGAGGAGGTTGCTAGGGAACGAAACTTTGTCACTCTTCTCCAGACCGCCCAACAAAGCCTCATTCCCAACCAGGAAGAGTTTGACTGTGGCATTTGCTTTGTTCCAGTGGAGCCTGGAGATGGAGTGATACTCAGGGAATGTCTACACAAGTTCTGCAGGTCAGCGATCAAGAGTTTTTTTAATGTAACGCTTGTTAATACACCTTTACAAGGCAGTCAGAGTTTGTCACTCTATGACCTACAGGAAATGATTGGGTAGAATGGAGTGTATGTAATACTGTGTATCACAAAAAGAGGAAGCTTGCTGGCCTTAAGACAGTGAAGAAACAACGAGCGCAAAAACCGTTCCGTTGATGTTGTTTTGTTTCCCTTGCTTTGTTTCCACCATTTGCGTATTTTGTTGCTCTCCCAAGAGCCACACACACAATTCTCTGATTTCCTGTAAGGATTTGACTGACGCTCAAAACGCTAGCGCCTTCAATCTAATGGAGCATTCAATTGCCTTTTTCCAGTTCAAAGTTTAGCTGGGAGTTTATAGACCAGCAGTGTGGACTGGTTGCTGTTTTTGTTATGGTTTTTAATTGTTGTTGTTGCAGTTGTTAATTGTCGTTGTCTTTGTTGCTGTTGCTGTAGAGGCAAGCAATGAACCCTGTCTATTTTCCTCTTGTATTCTCCTGTAGGGATTGTCTTACTGAGCACATTCGCCTGGCAACAGATCCTGAAGTCCAGTGTCCTCATCAGGAAGATGATTACGCCTGTCACGCAACTATCACCGGCCAAGAAATTCAAGCGGTAAGTACACTGTAACTTGAAATTTCGAACAAAAGGCTATTTACAGCTGTAAGCGGGCGATGTGGTTACACAACTTTTCACCCCTAAAAACTTCTTAGAGCTTTTCAAGTTGATCAAGCATCCTTTATTATTCTGAGGAATTGCTTCTTTCAAAACAGTTACAGTTTGACAGATGCCATCTAAACTGAGCTTGTTGCTTTTGAGTAAATTTGGTAGTTTTTAGTTTTGGTAGTATTGAATGTGCATAATTAAGGGTATGAAAACTACAAATTTGAAAGTAACCCACTCTGGAAGCAAAGTATCGTATTTAACTCACATTTTCCCAGACAGGATGTTATAAAGTGTATTTACTTATCGAAGTCTTAAATAGCCCCCAGCTTGAATCTCCCTGACTGTAGCGCTGCAGGCGCAGATCTAGGATAAATGGTGACTGATTTTCGAAAGAACGAGTGCCTTCTAGGGGGATTCAGGGTCATGCTCCCTTAAGAAATGTTCTGGATCTTTTTTTCTCCCTAAAGTAACCTTTTTTGGTTTCTAAGTAATTCTGAATTCGTGGAAACCGGTGTGGACCCGCGCCTGCGCTGCATATACGATTTTCCTTTGTTGATTAGGCTATCCCCTTTCTTTTCTCTGTTTAGCGTCGTCCGACCGAACTAGATTTTAGCGTTTTCCAAAAATAAAAAAAAAAAGGTTACGCAGAAGGCAATGAAGGCAATGACACATTATTTCAAATAATTGTCACTTTAATCTGAAACATAAGCAATTCTCTGCCTTACAGATTTTTAGTTTTTTTCCCTGTTCTCGTTTGATTTTAACAACGACGTCGATTTTTCCTTCCTCCATTGCCGCCATGTTGGCTTTGTAACCACACCTTGTTGTTTTCAGGCTCCACGGATATTATGCTGAGGTACCGGGCATCCTAGCTCCAGACTCCTTTTCCAATTTTATTTTTCCCTTTCCGACCGACTGACCCAGAATCAGAAAACGCATTCGACAATAAACGAAAAAAAGGGGGGGATGGCCTTACTGCAAGAAATGTACACATATGATGTTACAATTCCATGGGGGGAGGTCATCTGTCAATGAGAATCTTGTCATAATTGAAAAGACAAGGTTCTCTTCTTAAGGACCATATATAGTGTTCCGTACTTCTCTTTCTCTTTACTTGTTTAGCTGCAAAAGCTGTCAGGGTAACTGAACTCCTCAAAACAGCAGCTAAAAAAAATGTAGAATGTATTAGAAAATGTCGCTATTTCCGCGCGGAAAAAAAAAACGTTTCTTGACGCCAACCTGAAGCCTTTTCAGTGATGTCTAAAAAGTTAGTGAATTGTAGTACAGTAGAGAAAGATACTTCTTCAAAAAGTTTCAAACTCTTTTTTTTTTTTTTTCAGCTATTGTCTCCTCAAGATTTCGACAAGTTCTTGAACCGAAGCCTCGCCACAGCGGAAAGTCAAGCTGCGAACAGCTTTCATTGTAAAACTCCAAACTGTCAGGGGTGGTGTGTGTACGAGGACAATGTCAACACTTTCTACTGTCCTGTGTGTAAACAACCTAACTGTTTGACATGTAAAGCTATCCATGCCGACATGAACTGCAAAGAGTATCAAGATGATCTCAAAAGAAGAGCACAAAATGACGAGGCAGCGAGGCAAACACAACAGTTTCTTGAGGTAAACAACAAACAGAAAGGGATTGTAGAGTGGCGTGGAGGCGTGGTGGCCTCATGGTGTGTGCGTTAGTCTGCGGATCGAGCGGTCCGGTTTCGAGCCCTGGCCGGGGACATTGTGTTGGGTTCTTGGGCAAGACACTTTACTCTTACAGTGCCTCTCTTTACCCAGGTGTATAAATGGGTACCGGCGAATTTAATGCTGGGGATAAGCCTGCGATGAACTAGCATCTCATTCAGGGGGAAGTAGAAATGCTCCTAGTCGTTTCATGCTACAGAAACCGGAGATAAGTGCCGGCCTGATGGGCCATTTGGTTCGTATGCAGAATTTGCCTTTACTGTAGAGTGGTGGGAGATTTGCTTTAACGAATCGTGCTTGCAACGGTTATTAAACGTCAAATGATAGAAAAAACAATATCACAAACTTTCCAACCTCGTGTAATTTCCTTTTTTGACAATGTCACGTCATAGAGGAGCTAGGTATAAGGGGGGATCATTGTATTTTTTAGGGGTGTTGAGCAATTTTTCTGAGGGATGATTTTTTCAGGATTAGGTCGTACAACAATATAGTTTTCGATTTGCACGTCTTTTGCGTGGCTCGCTTACGCGAATGTTTTTCGTCTCTTCGTCTCGACCAGGATTTTTTTTTGTTAATTACCCAATCGCCCTCCCAGTCGAAAATTGTCCATCCCTAAACAAAGTGAGATGGTCGGAAAAAAAAAAGTCACGTTGCCTCTTTTGACTCCCTGACAAGAATTTATTCCCGACTGTGGATACGTGAACTGACCAGTAGCAACGATTGTCAGCAGAAATCTTCTGACAATTTGCGACATTGTTTTCCAGGGCATGGTGAGAGGAGGAGAGGCAATGCACTGTCCACAGTGTGAGATCATTCTACTCAAGAAAGACGGCTGTGATTGGATGAAGTGTAGCATGTGTAGAACAGAGATTTGTTGGGCCACCAGAGGTCCCAGATGGGGACCTGCAGTAAGTCACCTGTCCACTTCTTCCCTATAAATATTTAAGTAATATATAAAACACGAAAAACAAGAGAGACCGTGTGTTACCACATCTCCAAACACCTAGTTAAGAGTTCGAAATATGACGCGCAGCGGAGTGTATTAATTTGACGCACTTCGAGGTGCTTGGAAATGCGCTAAAACATTGTCTTAAGTGTTTGATATATCCTCTCGATCCAAACTAAAAGTAAGGAAAAACGGAGAAATAAAGTCGTAAAAATGTCTGCTGATTAGGGTCAGATATCCAAACATCTTCACGGTCATGATATCCTTTGTTTAAACGTGATGAACTATTAAATTAATGAGTTCTAAGAATAAGATAGGACGGCGTACGAAAAGTACTATTAGCTCGATTGACCAACGTCGCTAACACACATGCTATTGTTGGAGGAGGAATCTGAGTAAAATAGCGAGATATTAAAGCCTATCGAAGTTAATTATTTACACCGTTCCTCAGTTAATCCGTCGTTGTGTACCTCTCGCTTGATGCTCATTCATTGTAGATTAACCACTATAAATTATTTCTTTCTGTTGAAAGAAAGTGTCCATCTTGAGGGTTTACGTGCATTTAGACAGGGATTTGATAGTTTTCTTGTTATTTTCAGGGTACTGGAGACATCTCAGGGGGGTGCAAGTGCCGCGTTGGAGGCAAAAGGTGCCATCCAAGATGTAAAAACTGTCACTAGTAAGGAGAGCTCCATACAACGAGAAATTAGGGATAATGGCCGGACCCGGCACTTGAGACAGAGGAAGACACCGTTTTTAAACCAGTGATAAACAGAAGTTATAATCACTTGAAACTAGAGATGAATGTATGATGTAATGAGGGTATTTACTTTAAGTGTTCAGAGGACTTATTGTGTGACGAAAAAAAAATGTGCCCATTTGCAAGTTATATCATATTTTTCAGGTTAACTATTTCATTTGATCAATACTCGTTTGTTACTTTTTGCAGTGCTTAGTTTTCAGCAGGGAATACCATTAGGGTTTTAAAGAGAAGTTGCCTTTACAATAAAAACTCTTTCTCGGCTTGGCTTTGCAAAGATTTCAGAAGCTGCAGACACGCTCGTTAATGATAGCCTTTGAGGGAAAGTCATACCCTGCCAGAGCACATGCGGTGCAAGGTCTGATCCGTAGACTGGATCAAAAAAAGACGTTCTTATCGTTACACTAACAAAAAGATAAATTTATTCCATATTTAGCAAGGCTGGACTTAGCCGAGTAATCATCCTTAGCTTCTTGCACCGCAGCTCCCCAAGGCCAAAGGGGCACAAGAGTGGAGCACCAGACCTCTGGTAAGCCCACCGAGCTCCGAAAACCTAATTGGTTTCTCCGTGCATAAGACCGTACGGGTGCGCGGTTTGAGTACATTATAACATCCCGGACTCGAGGCGACTTTCGAGACTTGAGAAATTTTTGTCTCCCGGTGTAGGAATAATTTGATTTCTTCGTTTGAAATAGTTCTACGTTTGCATTTTGCTTCTACTTTCCAATTTTTTTTTTTTTAATGTTTTGGGCTCTAATTAACCAGAATAGAAACGCTTCGAGTCTGGTTAAAAATAATAAATAATCCCAACAAATTATAGATAATAAAATTGATAAAAGAGCAGTGACACTCCGCTTCTCTGCCTTAGTAGCAGCAGAGGAAACCTCTGGGACCAAGGTAGAGCTCCGCGTCTATACAGGTCTCTTTTCCCTTTTATTATCCCTGTAGGTCTAGCAGGGTCCAATCCGTTAGATAACATATCAGTTATAACAGGAACACATATTTTTACGAGGATCTAACTTAATTGGTTGGACAGAAATTGTATCTACTCATTAATTAAAGTTGTCTAATTGATGACGTTCCCAGTATGTTATTCTATTTACACCCGGGGAATGTACACGTGATAAGAATACAGTTTAAGTGGCAATAAATAATTTGTCATAAAGTAACACCTCACTGCGAAATAAACCTAAATTATTATATGGCTTTGGCTTGTGGCCGATATAACGCGCGCTCTGATTGGTTAATTGTCACTGAATTGTAGGCATTATTCTCCCGTAATGCCCACGGGCCGATTACGGATTATGCAAATTAGAAGAGCCCGGTTCTGAAAATTCAAGCGCATTGAAGCGATGAAAGCCGATTAAAATCAGTACGAGAATATCAGTAGCTAAAG